AGCGAAGCCGAGAAATAACTAAAGCTCCTTAATACTAGTAGAGGTTGGCTATTTAGTAATAGTTTTAACCTAATTAGGGTTAGCCCTTATACTATTAGTTAATACGAGGAAACTAAGGAAGGGTACCTCTTTAGTAGCGAAGGTGCATTTAGAAGGCTTGTAATACAACCTATAGGCTCGTAGGCGGTCGAGGACCTTACGTACTATAGCCTAGTAATCTGCAATATTAGGTAAATAGATATAGACTAGGATATTATCTAGGCAAACAGTCGCAAACTATATAGAGGTAGTCTAATAGGCCTAATAAGGCCCGATTGATATAGGACTAGAATGTTATAGGGGCATTAGCTAGGCTAAATAGTATAACTAAATACTCGAAATAGCTATAGCGGGTACGAAAGGCCGTCTTCTATTTATCGCCCTTGCGAATACAGATGCGGTAATAGGCGTCTTTAATGTCTAATATAGTGTAGAAGTAGGTACTAGAAAGGCGATCGAGGGTCTTATTAATAAGCGGAAGTAGATAGCGGTCCTTAATAGTAATAGTATTAAGTCTACGGTAATTAATATATAGGCGTAGGCTACTATCCTTCTTTAGAACAAACAGGATTAGTGTACTAGTAGGACTGTTGCTATACTGAATTCGACTATTAGCTAGGTTCTTATCTAGATATTTACGTAGTATAGTAAGCTTACGCTTACTAAGGTTGTAGAGGGGTCTAAAAGGAACCTCCTTGCCCTATACAATATTAATCTTATAATCCGTCTCTTTAAATATAGGCAATGTCGATACTAAGTAGTATTTAAACACGTTAATATAGGTCTCTCGAATAGATTCTAGTATACGCTTAAGCTGTTTAGGGTCTATACTATTAGGGGGTATAGGTTTATCGTTATCTCTACTGCGAAGATTAGTAGTCGGATTAGCTAAAGTAGAGGCTAGTATTAAGTTACTAATAAATAGGACCCTAATATCGTTAGGGCACTCGCTAATATTAATATACTTAATTTCTTCTTTCCGAGCGATTCTAAATCGCTACTATTAGCTGCCTAAGTCTATAGCTATAGCGTAGTACTTAAGAACAGGGTTGCTAATAATAGTGTTAAATGGAAGGTTGTCTGTGTCTACTATGTGGATAGTAAAGTCTAGCAAGCGCTTATTGCCGAGGTCGTCTTTTAGAACTATAGGAATATAGTAAGCCCTATAGGTCAAGTGCCGAGCGTTATTAAACTAAGCAAGGGTCAGCAGGTTAGCCCTATTTAGTTGTTAAAGGTCTAATTGCTTAGCTAGGCGATAGTTAATAAGGGCACTAACTAAATTTCCTAGATCTAGTATAACCTTAGCTCTATAGTTAGTTCTATACGTATCCTCTATAAGACAGGTACGTATAATAGCTAGTACAATGTCGATAGTTTTACGCTGTATAAGGCTACTAGTTAGTGCGGCGCTTATTCCTTTTTCGACTAATAGGAAGGCCCGATAGGGGTAGCATTAGCGGCTAAAAGGTGCTTTCGGTACTTAGCGGTAGTACGGTCGATTCGGGCCTAATCCCTAGGTTTGTCGCATTAGCCTAGTAGATAGGTAGTGCTATTACAATTAAAGCATTTCAATCTAGTTAGGAGGTTGCTATAGTTGCTACTACTATTATTAGTCGAGCGGTTAGTATTATAAGGATACGAGCCCCTTCCGCGGCCCCTATTATGGCCTCCTCTATATAGCCGTCGGCTACGGCTTCTTTTACGGTTATTACTATTCCTCCTATTAGTATTGCTGTTCTAGTAGGAGCCTTAGTTTCCTCCGCGGCTACGGTTACTACGGTCAGTACTAGCTAGTCGGATCCTCGATTCTAGTTGTTACTAAAGCTAGACAGCTTATTTAGTTGTTTCTACTTCGACTATAAATTAAATGCGTATAAGATTAGTCTATTTAAACACACGGCGACGGTCTAATTCGAGGATAAGCTCCTACCTAAGTTTTAGGCGTGTTTCGGAGAGCTATACAGAATTAGTCTTAGCTAGAAGGTCGTTCTCGAGGGTCTTTAAATAGGCCTTAAATAAGCGAGCTAACTAATTAGTCTTTTGCTTAGCTCGAAGGTACTAGTCCTAAGTATATTATTGCCTTAGTATAGGGTTTCTAAGAGTATCTAGCATAATAGTTTTATAGGTCTGCTACTAAACAGTAGTCTAATTATTAAGGGAGTCGAAATAGTTATCCTAAGTACGTTTTAGGTCTCTATTAATATATTGCATAGCGTAGACGACTAAGGAATAGTCGTCTAGAAGAGCGCTTAGTGCGTTCTGCCAATTAAGTTCGTAGTTACGGATACAGTCGTCATATTGCTTTCGGCTAGAGCTATTAAACATAGTATAGTCCTTAAGTTTAGCATTCTTCTTTTAGACTAGTAGTAGAGAAGAACTTGTTAGCTTAGTACTAGTTATTAGGGTTTCCTATAGACGGCGAATTTCGAGAAGGTCGTTCCCTAGCTATTGCTCTTAACGTAAGGAAGCGAGCCTGTTTTAAGTAGCCTCGTAGAGTCTCGCTACTAGCTAGGGGCTAAAGGCTAGTTAGCTATATCGGCGATTAACTATATTATTAAGGATGTCGTTAATAGGCAACGATAGGTTACCCCCTTCGACTATAGGTTCTTTAGTAGGCTCTTTAGAAGGCACTTTAGTAGGTACTATGCTACTAGCGTTGTCGTTATTATTGCTAGCGCTACTAGCGGCGGCACGGTTGTTATTGTTTCGTAATAAGCCGGCTATTATAATAAGGAGTAATACTAATAATATATTATAGCCCCTTATAGTGCGGATATAGCGGAATTAGTAGGTATCGGCCTAGTACGATTAACTTAGTATAATAGGCCGTATAGAAGGCCTTGCTTAATAATTAGTACGGTTGTTTTCGATAGAATAGTACGTATAGGTCCCGTTCTTTAGGCGTAATATAGTTAAATTAATAGTTTTTATAGATATACCGCTAAAAGCTTAAAATAAGGACTATCTAGCTACTACCCTTAAAGGGTAGATCGAATACTATATAAGAAGGGTTATATTAGTATATAGATAGGATAGTAGTAGATTAGTATAGTATTCGATAGAGATCTAGGAGGAAAAGGAGGAAGGCAGGCTAGTTAGCCTAACGCTAAGCGCTAAGCCCTGCCTAAGGCACTAAGACCCTAGCTTTACTTAGCCTAGTTATATACTAATTACGTATAGCCTCTTTAGCCCTAATATATATCGCCCTACTACGGCGATAAATCGAGTATATTAGCCTTTCTTAAGTCTATAGCGGACCTAATCGCTTAATTTGACCCTTCTAAGCTATTTAAGTAAGAAGTCGCCTTCCTTATAGATATACTTAATCTTAGCTATATCGGCGTATCGCTTAGTCTAGCTACTAGTTAACTCTTTACGTAACTAGCTAAAGAAGCCTATTAATTCTCTATCGGTAGTATAAGATTAATAGGAAGCGATTAAGCCCCTAACTAGACTTAATTGCGGTAGTAGACTAGAAGCCGGTAGACTAGAAGCCGGTAGATTAGACCTAGAAATAGCGCCTCTACGACCCTTGCTATTAGACTAGCTATAATAGTTATAGATTACTACTAGGGTTAGCGTTATTAGTGCGAAAGCACGTCTACTACTACTAGCTTATTATCTAAATAGATTAGACAACTGCTTGTCTCGTTGCTTCTATATCTTTAATACTAGTGCCGCTCTAGGGTCGTCGATTGTTAGCCTTCTAGCTAGATTAGCCTCTCTAGTCCCCTTAACCTATCTAGCGGCTATTTCCGGATAGATCTTGCAGTAGTCTTCTGCTTTGTCTAGACCGCTAAACTAGTACAATCTACCCTTGTTTAGGTAGTATCTATTCTTATAGGACTACCGCTAAGCAAGGGCGTGTCGCAGGTCCGTTAGTAAGCTAGTAAGGTCGTCGTTATTATCGTTAGAAGCCGCTTTATCTTCCGAGCGACCTTTAGCTAGCAGGGCAGCTAACTATTACTAAGTCGCTATATTCCGCGGTCTCTAAGAAGCCTATTAAGTCCGCCGTAGTTATTAAGTTATAGGCTCGTTAGGAACACTAGTTAGCTTAGCTATAACGGTTAGTTTAAACTCGAGGCGTAAGCCTATCTTGCCTTAACTATTCTAGATAGCTAGTATAGTATATACGCGCTTAAAATTAAGGTCCGTTATACTAGAGCTACGGTAGAAGTGTTTAGCCTTTACCTTGTCCGTAGAGGCTATTATAATAGCACTCTTAAGACTAAATATAAGCCGGTTGTTGCCTTTGTCGCGCTAGTCGTTAAACTAGTAGTCTACGGCTTTATAAGGCGACTCGTAGCTTAACTCGCTTAGATAACACTCGCTTAGTAAGGCTTCCTTCTACTTGTCCGTATATAGGTTCTACTATATAGTATATTTAAAGACCTCGACTTCTTTATAATTACTAGAAGTATAGTCTTCTTTATCTACGGTATCTTAGCGCTAAGAACTCGTTAAATCTAGTAACTCGTCGTTAGTATCTAGCTTTTCCGGACTATTACTTAATAGTAGCAGCTCTTTACGTCGTTATCTCTTAGCGGTAGCGGCTTTAAGGGCTTCCTTCTTCTTCGTAGTAAGCTTATATAGTCGCTTCGAGGCTCTTAGTATACTAGCGTAGTAATAGAATATACGAGAGGGTGCTAAAATAGCTAGCTCTTAACCTTAAGGCTTACTAGGAGGTTGTAAACAGATAGAGGCAAGAAAGGCTTTCGTACCGGATCGTATTCTATACCTAATTTGTATAGTACGGCAGATACTCGGCAAAGACATAGACACGCGCTAATTTCTATCCCTCCGATTGTATAGCGCGACTTATTAAATAGTATAATAATAGAGCGACGAGCTTACTTCTATAATTAACCTTCCCCTCTATATAATTATCTATCTTAACTCTTTTATAATATAGCGACAGTGGATCTACTATACGAAGCTACTATCCGATCCTTAAGCGACTTTTAGCAACACAACACCTCTGCAAAAGGACAACACCTAAGCAAAAGAAGATGACCCCTCCGAGATTCGAACCCGGGTTACTCTAGCATGAAAGAGACATTCTCGATCGAGCATAACGCAAGTACATGGATTGTAACCGCTCTCGGATACCCTAAGCAGTGCTACCTCCGGCCTTGGGAAGTCTCTACGAGTGATGCAGCGACAAGGCTAGAGGTATATAACTGCTCGATAGGCGATCTTCGAGCGGTCACGCTCCGTTGCTGTACCGCAGAGCGTAATTAACCACTATACCAAAGGGCCTGATTAGATAACAGTAGAGCTATGTAGTGCCTACATTAATGTTCCTTATCTACGGCAATGTCGACAAGTTGAACAAGTCCTATAGCCCTAAGGGGATTGGGGGATTGGGTTAAGGAACTTAGCCTAGGCAGCTCCGGCTGTTACCTTAATCGCCCTACACAATAGGCCGATGTCCGTCTATCTCGCCTCATTGATCGTCTGGGCCTATCAGCGAGCTTCGAGCCTGCACATATCTGGAACATACAATCAGCCCAGTATGACGCATGGTCATGATGAGAGAGAATTATGTGGTCGATATCTCAGCACATGTGCTAGTATCGAGGATCCCGCACGATTGCTACCCCTGCTTTCGTCTCACGGCTGTGCGGCTCTCTTGGCGGTGGTATCGCATGACTTTTCCAATGGCGAGACTGAACTTCTGATCGAGGCGGCGAGACGTCTACAGAACTGTCGAGATATGCTGATCACGAACATCACCAGTCGTATAGCGGGATAGATGGACCGCACGGCAAAGGTGTAGATGTGGCAGCCGTAGAGTAGAGTTTATGCAGACCCACAGGTGACCCCCAAACCTAGTGATGGAGTCCACCATCCAGTGTATGGTGTATACAACGTGTAATACACTATGTATACAGGGGTTGGAAATGAAGGTGCTGTGTACACCCATAGGGCCCATAATTATAGGTTATTAGTGCCAATTGGGGTCGCTGCCGGCGGCTACTAGTAACCGGCCGCTATGCTAGCAGTCGCACTATATTAGCTAGAGTCGCTGCCTACGAGAGGTGTTATATTTATACTGCTAGACTTCGCGTCTTGTCGCGTTGCTATCGTGTTTGCTATACAAAATGCGACGAGGTAGAAAGGCTAGAGATATAGCAAAGGTACGACGGCTAGGTAACAAGAAAATTAGATAAGGAAGAGCTATATCTTTAGTAGAACGAAAATAGCGCAGAGTATATAGTTATAGAGGATATAATAGACTATTTTGTATATAGAATTCCTCCTCTTTCTATAGCAGACTGCCTATTAGATTCTATCTCTTATATAGACCTATTTCTATCGATTTCTATCTACTATATCTAACAACTTGTCTTCTAGCTAATAACAACCCTTCGTTGCTAATAAGCGTAGGTATATTAAGGACGCCTATTAGTCTCTCGTTACTCGAGAGGTGCTTCTTAGCAAGACATACCCTATAGTAACTTATCGCTTCTATAGTAACTTATAGACTTTAAACGCGAGGAATCGTATAGTCTAGTACCTAAAGAAGTACAAGTTATTGCTAGAAGAATAGTAGAGTAAATACTAGCCTTACCTTATTGCCGATAATCTAGATATTAAGTTAGCAAGCGACCTTCTAGATAGTAACGGAGATAAGCTACTATATCGACCTAAGCTATAGCAAACGACTCTTATTATCGGCAATAATAGCTACGTCGACGTTATAACTCCTAAAGAGTATAAGAAGGCTTTAAAGGGGGTTGCTAAGTAGGTGTTTGCCTCTAGTAACTAGCTAAGTATTACTAAGCATCTAACGTTCCTTACTTAGTTAAAGAGCCTAAGACTAGCATTTAAACCTCCGACTCGCTAGTAGCTTATATATAAGTATCTACCTCGTATTTACGAGGAGTTAAAAGAGGAGATAGAAGCTAATATCTCTAAGAGCTACCGGATTACCTTTATAACTAATAGGTAGACTAATAATAGTAGGAGGTCGAATACTAACTATCTAGCGGTTACGCCTCGGGCGGTATACTTCGTCGGTTCTAAGAAAGTCGGCGCTTATTATAGTACCGCGGAAAATTATACTAAAGGCCTTTAGAAGGCTATAGAGCTATATAGCGACAAGGTCGTCGCTCTAACTGCTAATAATGCGAATGTTATATCGGCGGTAGCGAAATTAGTATATCGAAGATTAAAGGTAGAAGGTCGCCTCTTATTAGACCGCCGATAGCCCGCTAACGGACCTTCCCTCCTGTCTTATCTGCGCTTATCTATTAGGCTGTTAGATACGCTAACCCTAAATAGGTTAGCCTTTACAAACCTAAAAGTATTACAATTAAGGTGCTGTTCTTATAAAGTTAAACTTCTTATAGACGACATTTACTAATACTATACTATCGACGAGTTCTTTACGCGCCTACTAGCGGTATCTAACTACTTTAAGAACACCCTCCTACTATTCGAACTGCTATTAGACATTAGTAAGGGCAAGGTGCGGCGTTTTTAGTTACTAGGAGAGACCCGCTAGTAGGGCAAGCTATACTACGCAAAGGCAGTCTTCGAGAACCGTAACTATATTTAAGAGCTCCGCGTATAAGAATACCGCCTGCTAGAAGGCTAGAATAAGGCAAGTGCCTCTTAGAGGTTAGCTTAGTAGACGGTCTGCTAGATTACTAAGCGTAGCGACTTCTAGAAGCAATTAGATAACTATATTAAGCTAATAGAGCCCTTCCTTTAAGTTACTATCTCTCTCGAAGCCGATAAACTACTACTATCTTACGTCTACGGTTGCTTTAAGTAGCTCTATAACACCTCCTAGAACAACCTATTTATTAGTAATAAAGAGCTCGAAGAAATAATCGATATGCGATATAAAGAGCTATATAGGCCTATTATACTAATTGCCTATCTTGCTAACGCAAAGGAGCGACAGCACCCTTAGCGATAGAACATTATTGTCGGTCTAGAAGAGTTAACCGCCTATACAGACTTCTTAACTATATACTGCTGCTACTAAGGCTATAGTAGTATACTGCCTAGTTACGAGTATATACCTAAGTCTCGCTTAGAGATTAAGACTCGCGTAGTAAGCCTCCTTGCTAATCTCTTTACCTTACGTAACCGCGGAGGTGTCTTTACTAATTCTATTATATAGGCTTCTACGAAGGTAATAACTCCGTTATAGTAGTAGCACAACCTTATTAAAGACTACTTTCCGGAGCTGTCTATATTATATATACTTATACTATCTATCTATCTAACAACTAGCGCTACCGAGCGCAACTAGTCGGCTTATAGCTTTATTATTAACCTCCGCCGCAATCGACTATCCTTAGAGGTCGTAGAGATACTAGTCTATTACTATTAGAACCTCCGGATTAAGTACAAGATTAAGGACGGCTTACTAGACGACGACAACTTCGACTTACTATAAGATATACTACGAGAGCTATATAAGAAACAACTATCTTAGAGTCTATAGGAAGCCGAGGCTATTAACTAAGGCTTCGATATATAGTCGCAGAGTCTATTATATATAGAAGGCAGCGACGACGAAGGTTACAAAGTAGCCGCCGAAGAAGCCGCAATAGCACTTCTATAGGCAGCAACAACTTAGCCTATTTAGTAGTCCCTTTAGTCTACTATATAGCATACTATTTAGTACTGCAAGCATCGTTATCTCCTTTTGTATATAGACTTATATACCAAACCAGCCTCGGTTAGTGCCATTTGTATATACCCGGTATACACCTGTATAATATATGGTGTATACAGGGGCGATTCTTAATCTACGGTGGATTCACATCCCTACCCAAACCTGGCTCCCACCTCCACACAGCGCAGCCCGAAGATGGCCCGTCCTAGAGACTTTCCCCCATGGACGACCCAATGAAGTGGTGGAGTGACCCTCGCACTAAATCGATCGGTTGCATGTTTGTCAAAAGCCGCAGCCAAGCAAGGACTTCCTCGATTCATACACTCCAGAACATGACCACCGATTTTTAAATCTCAACAGCAATGGCCAAGATCAAGACCGTAGAACGCTTTCGAGTGAAGCCAAGATGGCTCTTCGTCAAGATCACCGATGAAGATGGAGGCGTAGGCTGGGGCGAAGGCACACTCGAGGGCCACGACCTCGCAGTTGAGGGAGCAATTGACGAGATAATCGTTCGAATCGTTGGACTGGAAGCGAAGTAAGCAATTCCCACATATCTGATACTTGATGTACCGCTAATGATTGTTTCTCCCAGCAACATCGAACACATCTGGCAACTCATCTGGCGCCTAGGCTTCTACCGCGGTGGTCCGGTCTTCATGTCCGCATTATCTGGCATCGACATAGCACTGTGGGACCTCAAAGCACGTCGTCTCAACGTACCTTTGTACGACCTCCTCGGCGGCCTCGTCCGGAACAAATGCCAAGTCTACTGCTGGATTGGCGGTGATCGGCCTTCCGACATAGCTACCGCAGCTCAAGCCCGAAAAGACCAAGGCTTGACTTGTGTAAAAATGAACGCCACTGAAGACGTCAACTGGCTGGATTTCCCTTCAGTCCTAGACTCCACCGTGGAGAGGCTCAAGGTCGTGAAATCTCTGGGTCTCAACGCCGGCTTGGACTTCCATGGCCGTCTCCATAAACCTATGGCAAAGCAATTGGCAAAAGCATTAGAACCGCACCGACCACTTTTCATCGAAGAACCTCTCCTGGTCGAACACCCGGAAGCTCTCAAACAGCTTAGCAATCAAACGACAATTCCCATCGCGCTGGGTGAACGTCTCTACACTCGTTGGGACGCCAAACCTTTCCTCGAAAACTCCTTGATCGACATCCTCCAACCCGACATCGCTCACGCAGGAGGAATCAGCGAGACGAAACGTCTGGCTCAACTGGCAGAAACCTACGATGTAGCTATCGCTCCGCACTGTCCCCTGGGCCCCATCGCATTCGCAGCTTCTCTGCACGTAGGATTGACGACGCCGAATTTCGTGATTTTGGAGATGAGTTTGGGGATGCATTACAATACTGAGAGTGATGGTGGGGAGTATGATTTGAACACTTATCTCAAGGATCGGAGTGTTTTTGGTATTCAAGAGGGTGGGTATGTGGATGCGCCGAAAGGTCCGGGGTTGGGGATCGAGGTTGATGAGGAGTTGATTCGGAAGATTAGTGCGGAGACGCTGCCGTGGCAGTGCAAGGAGTTTTATGGGCCTGATGGGTCGATTCGAGAGTGGTAGTTTGGAGTCACAATTGAGGAGGGTGTGGCGGCTTGTAGTTTTTGGTCTTGTTTCAAATGGACATGAATGCTTCTTTGATAGCGGCTTTACTGCATGCAGGTGGCACGGAGTTCGTCTTCACGCAGAAGCGAGGCAGAGAGAGCTAACAAAAGGTTGCATAGATTCTCGAGAGCTCATCATAGCGAAGCTGCGCACCAACCCGGCCGTCTTACCGTCCACATGCATGAAGCTCGAGCCAACGTCAAACGTCCCGCCTGCCTCTCACGTTGGCTCGAGACTCTTTTCCAACATTTTCTGCAAGCTTCATCAGCCCCTTTACCATGCCGCGACACATCACAATGTCGCCCGCCAACCTCGAAGTCGACATGGAAGACGCTCTACCAAGCCGCCGAATGAACGGTGAAGAGCACGCCTACAATCCTTTGCGCTACCCGGCGGACGTCGACGACGCAGCTTCTTCCGATGATTCAGTCAGACCTTTTGCCGGCAGACATCCCCGAGCCCCCCAGCCACACTCCTTTCAACAACAACAGCAACAGCGCTTCTCGCGCGCCTGTGCCACCATCATCGCACACTGGCGTCACGATCTCCTCCGTCTCCTCCCGAAGAATTTGCTGCCAACGAAACCCGCCACACGGAAACGGCGCCGGCTCATGAAGTTCGAGGCGTGGCAAAGAAATTTGGTCTTTGACCTGGCCGAGTTGGCGAAAATGGAACCCGACGTCGAACTTGCGGTGGAGTCGGTCTGATCTTGCTCTCCGAATGCGCTGGCTGCCGCTGACCGTTGATAGGTATCTCGTCAGGATCAATGCGCAGCGTCTACGGGAGAATCCGAATCGTAGGAACGAGAGGTTGAAGAGCGAGGATGTTAAGCAGGCGATCGGAATCCTGCAGAGGATGGCGGACTCGGAGGAGGAGGAGGAGGAGGAGAAGGAAAGTGCTGCGACGAATGTTGGTGCCATGATGGCCCAGGTCGAAGCCATTACGGAGATGCCAGTGCGCGTAAAGTCGAAGTCGGTTGGAGGAGAGGAGCTCGATGGAGGAGAGGAGCTGGTGCTTCCGATCGTCGGTGGACGCCGCTAGTTTGCGGAATGTGACTAGCAGCTTGGTGCATACGAGAAAACAGGTGCAAGATCCTGCGAACTTGAGAGATCTGATGCGAATTGAAGGCGTAGGATATCCCAGTTGGCTTTTTGAAGACTATGCAAAATCCACTTCTTGTTTCCAATGATCCGCCTTTCCTCCCGATTCGATCTCGCAATTGATGCAATGCCACGGTGTCGGGTTATGTCTTGATCTCTGTATCAGGAACACCTCTGTTTCGACATTTGCATTCATTGCTGGTGCTTCCTGCACTCCAAAGGTTTGTTTCATTGCCTCTTGTTTCGGATTTGGGTCGACACATGTATAGTCCCACTGCAGAGCTGGTAGCAGAGTGAAGATTTGTGAACAATCCAGTCTTCCCGCTCACAAGTCATTGCTTCGACGATATCGAGCACTCTGTACATGCCGGTGACATCTGGACTTAGCACTCATCGTCGCCGCCGTGATCGCAGGCAACTCATGTAACATTTCTCCTAAAATGCGAAGCCTCCTCACTCATTATAAGTGAGCACAGGATAATTCACCTGTCTCTGAAACGCCCGCAGCACCTCCTTCCCAGGATGCTTCTCCGCAGCGTCCAGTTCAAGTCTAATCATCTGCTTCCAAAGCTCTTGCGTGTCTGCCTCCAGATCTCGTCCCCTTAAAGGGAGATCTCTTCGCCAGGCGGTGATGAGACGATCAAGCATGATGATAGTAATCAAACAGAGCCCAAGCAGATCGACTTCTTTCGGCGAGGTCTTCCTGTTGTTCACAAATTGCTGCTCGCTTCGCAGTATGAAGGCTTTGAGACGACAACGCAACTCATGAGCTCTGGCCAGAAGAGGGAGGCGAATGGACCATTCGATCGCAATGTTGTCAATAAAGGCTCTATGGGCGTCTGCAAACACTAAGCGGAGATTTCCTTCGTCGTGGAGCTTTGCCATTGCCGCTGCGCCTGCTACGTGTTGTAGCCAAGACTCATTGCTCGTTGAGTCCAGCATCTCGTAGATGGCAAGAAGTTGCGTGGCGGCAAGCATGTCCAGTCTATCGTGCAAAGCTGGATCAGCAACGCCAGATCGCAAAAGGTGTAGGGCTTCGGTGTAGCAAAGTAGCATTTTCTGTTCCAGACCTACGCCTGTCACGACTTGCCGAACTTTTGAGACAACGCAGGCAATCGCGCTATCCAGGTAGGACTTCTCCCTATCGAAGCGGAGGCCGCGGAGACTGAGCACCATTGGCGACATCGGAGAGCATCCATAGTCCGGACGGGATCATTAGTGATCATCTGTGCGGCCCTGCGACGGATGTGGAATGCGGCTACTCGCAGCACATCTTCAAAGTTGACATTCGGTGGCAGGGAAACGCGCCCTGGGGTGAAGTCCACGGACATGAAGCGTATAGGAGCAGGCAGATTCTCGGAAAGCGCCACAGCCTGAGAGCTGTCGAGGAAAGGAAGATGGTCTTGCTCGTTGAGCTTCAACTTCTTGGGAGGAGCTTCGCGCTCCGTCGGCATAGTAGTACGCTTTAGATCCAATGAGAATGTACCGAAAAAGCCTTTTTGATGAGCGACAGGTCCATTGATTCTTCTTGCGCTTTCAGCTCGCGCGTGGTTGCGAGCATTGCGTCCCGATGGCACATAAGGGCTTGAAGATGTGAGAAAAATCAGTGGGAGTGCGCGAGAGCCTGTTACCATTGTCGCTGCTGTTCACTTGAGCGTGCCGGACGAAGCTCCAACCTCGACGAATACGCTCCGCGCAGACATTCCAGATCGAAGTCCAATATTTTGACTTGCTTGGCAGAGAGCAGAGTTGTGAAGTTGAGGGTAAGTTCACCTCTGCTGACGAATCCTTCAGGCCCAAAGTGGCATGGTCAACAAGCACATTATCAGGCCTCACTCTACTCACGTGCGTGAGATGTTCTCTGATTTTAGCTTCAGCGCGAGGCACTAGATGTCCAACCAGACACACCTGTTAGGGCATGTAGCCTGAGAGTGGATGCATGTGAGTACCTGATATGCCTTGCAATCAAGACCTCCAAGTCTGCGTAAAGCCATGCAACTTATCAATCAAAACAGGTCCCCAAGCACCCATCTCCTTCTCAATCATCTGAGCAAAGAAACGCACAGCTTCCTCCTCTCCCACATCTAACTTAAATCGCTCCTCAACTTTACGCACGGCTTGCTCGCCAGGAAATATAGCAAGACCAGGTATAGCTGCATCCTGCATCAGCGCAAAGAGGTTAAGAATGAGAGAACTCTGTCTCCTCAAAGTGGTGTACGCAGTGAAGCAGTATTGCCGAAACGTCTCGAACTGGCTTTCAGGATTGTTTGGTGTACCGCCTGTCATGCCGTCCACCATTTCTCGCGACAGCTTCATAAGTGGCGCCATGGGTTTCGGATCTCTGCCAAGGATATAGCCGAAATCGATGTGCAGGAAATGGCCGTCTTCTGTGATGAGCAAGTTGTCGAGATGTCGGTCGCCGACGCCGAGGAGGTAGGTGACGACGCAGTAGCCTGCGACAGACTTTACATAGTTGTCCATGGCATCTTTTCGCACGCCAAGGACTGCCGGGGCATCGGCCACAGGTGGATTGTGAGCTCGAAGGAAGCCTAGTATGGAGCCTTTGTATTGTGGGTTCTGAAGGATCGAAGAGACAGGTTGCGAGGGTATGAATTGAACTGCACCAGCAAGAATAGATGTCGCAAGGACCCGGAATGGCGTGAGCTTGAGATCGAGGTTCTCTTTGCGAAGAAGACGGTCCATGAGAGCGATGATCTGAATGACAAGCTGATCCTGTCGAAGATCGTCGCCCGTCTTGAAGATCAGAGGATAGGTTTCACCAGTGTCGGTTCTGAATTTGAGCAGCAGAGGCAAAAGCGACGACTTGAATACGTTGCAGTCATCTGAAATGATGCCGATTGCCCTCACCTCTGGATCAAGAGGTAGAGGCAGCGGGGGATCAAAATGCAGAAGCTCATTTCTCGGGTCGGCAAGCATCTTCTTGAGTGAGTCGATCTTTCGCAGACGATCTCCCTTGCCAGTACGAATATCCTTGCTGATCTTGCTGAGCACTGTGATGAGCTCGCCTTGGCGCAGCAGAATGTTACGTCGCACTTTGCCCTCGGGTGATGTATCGAGCTCCTTCATGAAGTCGAACTCAACACGTGCGAAAAGCTTCTTGTTCTTCGAAGCTTGTAACTGGTCGTCGTCCAGATCCAGCTCAACCATGAGATACCAGTGCAGGTAATTGCCAAGTTTCAGATTAGCTGCTGAGCGGGCAATTAGGAATGAAGCGAGCGATGAATCTGCGTCATCGTCCTCTCGCACGCGCTGCTGATTCTCGAATTTCAGGGCTTGAACAAGTTGCAGCAGATAAGAGAGCAGCTCCTCATCATCAGCCTTGCGGAGCCTGTGTACGGCATACGCACGAACAGATGGATGCCGTACACCCGGGCCCAGCAACTCAAGTGCATCATCGATGTCGATGTCGACCCATTTGGGGAGCAGTGCAATGGCTTGCCTGCTTTCCGCAGGTTCTAGCCAATTTACTGACTTGATAAGTTTTGTGAGAGCACGTTTATCGCGTGTCAGATGGTGACGGAAGCGCCATATTTCATCCTTCTCTTTGTCGCTGAGTTCCACTGTGGGGCCATACGACATTATCCGATTCAAGAAGTCTCGCATCTTGGGATTTGGCTTCAAATCCCGGTCCATAGCATTACGCTGACCGCGAATGAGTCGTCGATGCTTCTGCTCAGCAGGATTGTCTGCATATCCAATTTCGGGATCGTAGATGCCAACCAGTCTTCCGGCACCATCGGTGTCATTCAGGGCTTCGGAATGAATGCCTGGACCAAGCTGTACTTCAGGGGGAGGCTTGAAGTTGACGCCGTTCGCTGTTTGCGTATCTGGTGTCTTAATGGACGATATCGGAGGAGGTGGGTATTCGTGGTCGGTGAAGACGATGGCGTGGTCGAAGCGAGGGAACTCGATGTAGAGGAAGAAGCTGCCATCATCATGATCTGCATCACCGTCGGCACATTGCGGATCGCTGCTGTGTTCGCCGTTCGTCTCGCCAATGGTCTGGCGCGTAGGCCTCGAGGAATCCCGGATCTGCTGTCGTTCGAGCTTTTCGACTTGTCGAAAGACCATTTGGTCCAGCCATCTGTTCTCTGGAATCTCGCCCATTTCATGCTTTTTCATGAGCGATACCAGACGCTCAAGTTCGGCATCTCGGCGACTTTGCTTCTCATCAACAATCACAGGCTCTTCCTGCTGACCACATCTGCCTCGCTTTCTCAGTTCTTGCCAGGGTGTTGTGGTATCTGAGAAGCCATCTGCTGCCTTATGTCGCCATATCTTGCACTTCTGCCTTCCTGTTCTCAACGTAGCATCTTCGTCGAACAGCGGAATAGTCGTGCCTCCAAACGGGATGTGGTGACTTGAGTGCGCACCTTTCGGGTTGAGAGGCGATACATCCCAAAGTGTGATGGCGAGCTGGGTATTGACAGGCAATGTACTGTAGTTCAAAGGCAATGACAGCCACTGGTTCCATACTCTGCCATGCTTAAAGTGCTTGTACGGTGTTTGAGAGTGGACAGTCAGCGGCTTCGAGTCTGCAAACGGCTGGACAGTCACATAGAGCTCGGAATGAGAGCTGAGATTGCTGCCTCGGTGTCGCAAGTCTGGTCGTTTGAGGAGGACGGAGTATGGGAGGGGCTTCTCGTCGCCTTCAAGTCGGTTCCTACCAAATCTCAGCATAAGTCTACGCCATGCCATGCCACGACACTGCTTGCGAAGATGAACGCACACCTTCACGCCGACTGGTATGTGCAGCTCGGAGGAGCTGGCGAACGTGAACGGCTCCATCCCATTGTCGTCGCCCCGTCATCATCTAGGGAAAGGTGTCAAGGAGTTCGTGATACGTCTCGCAGACACAGACACAATGAGCAAACGTGGAAATGATCAGATGTCTTGGGTTCTACTCCACGTGATAGTCATGGGAGCTTGGGCCACGTCGCGAGTTGAAGCGAAGTGAATCGTCGGCGCGTCTCCAAACTTTCCTTTCCCACGCCGAGAGCTTCAAGGGGCAGACAACAACTCTCTCACGCTTCAACCTCAACCTCACACCAGAACTCACTTCTCGACGTGTCGCGACTGAGTTTTTCACCTCTATTATTGATATATTGCGGTGACTCCCATGAACTGAGGCCTGGCACGTCGTTAGTCTCCGCGACGCTCTCGGCCTGAGGAGACACATTGCGGCACCTCTCCCTTTCCCAACAACGCAGCGGCACAGTGAAGTAGCTGTAGTCCAATTATGAGCCATGGCGCGTCTCAATAATAGACCTTCGACAGTCGCCGGCTCGCGCGCAGGCACGGAGACGCCCGATCCGAGTCAAGCATCAGACCAAGAGAATTGCGATCCCAGACCGCGTCGAGATAAGGGCAAAGGGCGCGCGATCGAGCCCAGAACGAGCCTGCCAACGCCTTCTTCAAACGACACCGATCAGTCGCGTGGTCAGAAGCGCAAACGCGTCACAATGGCCACCCAAGAGGAGGATCTAGACGACGACGAGGATCCAGAGGCTGCCAAATTCAAGAAATACTACGATCCAAATCAAGATGCGGATACACGAAGGCAGATTAAGCGGAAGTCGCGTGCCCTCCAGCGCGAATTCAATGGTGCGTATTCCGTGCTATGCAGCGCTGGACTCTCTTTAATGCTATGATACAGAAAATCGCGACGATTACCTCAGAAGCCATGGCACAGAACTCCAGGATACCCTCAATCGCGCGAATCAGAACTTCAAGAATATCAAGCAGACCGGCGATGCTATGCTCGATTCAAGACTGCTGGTCGATGTCTCAGGACTGGCCGTGAAGAAGGCTCAGAGCATGGTGCTTGGCGATAATAGCACCGGCTTAGACGTAGACGAATTCATCACGAAATGCGTCCACTTCATGCGCAATGGAGGCATGGACAACGGCGACGCGCCGCGAACACAGACACAACGACAGAGACAGGAAGAGGACGATGAGGATAATGACGAACCTTTAGACTGGGAAGTCATCGGCCGCCATGCCTGCTTTCCCTACAACTCCCGTCCGCCATGCCCGACATTCCTGCTAGGGCCGCTATCGGTCCAGAAGAGGGTGCGTGTGTTGACGCAACGACGAGCGCGTCAGACTCAGGACAGAAATGCCCAGGAGTCGAGACCGGAAACGCTGGCCAAGGAAGATCTTTCAGCACCTGATCAAAATGCTCTGACTCAGCAATGCGAAAATATCAGACACCTCCTTCGCCGTCATTGCAAGAGAGCGAGCACGGCAGCCGAGCGCATTGAGTCCGAGGAAGGTCAGATGGACGCCAAGCGAGCCAAAGAATTCTGCAAGAAATACAGAGTCACATCAACCGGTTCGCCTTCGCTCTTTGACTTTGTCGTCAATCCACACAGCTTTGGCCAGACTGTGGAAAACCTCTTCTACGTCTCGTTCCTGATCAAGGAGGGCAATGCCGGAATCGCGCCAGATGATGATGGGTTGGCGACACTTGGTAAGTTATGAATTTGGAGTGACACGTGACTTATGCTGATTCTTTTCCATAGTCCTCACGACGCCTCGAGATCTGGAGCAACAAAGAGCGGAGAGAACTGTGAAGAATCAATCCGTCTTCTCGATCGACTATTCGACCTGGCAAAATTTGATCAAAGCGTTTGACATCACGCAGCCTTTGATACCTCATCGGGACGATGAACAGCCTACTCAGGTTGGGAGCAGAGGCTGGTATGCCTAGTGATGAAAATCGTGTCCAAAAGCTTTATACCCTGTACTGTCTAATGCACTTTAGCGAGCCCGGCACTGGTGGGCATCTTTGTGAGCTTTGCAGTATATACGATGTACGCAACGAATTGTGGAATTTTGTCTGCACGTTTGAGATCATGACCCTGATCTGCCGTCTGTGTTGAAAGCACTTCGAGAAGCGCATCGACATATTTCAGAGAGCGGAAGTTTGGCCCAGGCTTTGTGCGAGACAATTAAACGTACAGCCAGCATTTCTAAGGGAGCATTGCATGTCAGATCCAGAGCTCTGGAAGTAGATACGGAGTCTTTCAGCTGCAATCCACAACCCTTCGCGATGGCCAATCATGCCGCTCAACTTCTACCGCCAACCTGTACCTTAGGTATTGGCTTGACCCAGCACAAGGCCAGGTTCATACCAATGACCATGACTCCAGTGATCCAAAAACTCTCCGCATAATTCGTGTGATGATATCTAAACACGATAGCGAAAATCACGCCTCCGAGATTTCCCACAGCTCCAACGGTCCCAGACAGCACGCCATTCGCCGAAGGATGGACGTGAGGGACCAAGGCGAAGTTCGCTCCGTTTCCCGCTTCTAGAAATACGGCCGTGCCGGCGACGAGGCCAAACATCATCGACTCTTGCATTGGATCAGTAAGACCAATAGCGATCAAGAAAGCTCCAGATACCACTCCGACGATGACAATCCAGATTTTGGCGCTTGATAGTGGTGAACTCTTTCGAGATCGAAGTCGGCAAACGTTCACGGGCATTTCCAATAAGTTTTCTTTTCAGAGCCAACCACATCCGCAGGCAAGTTAACCCGCGCTTTAGAACTCATGATTCCAGAGATCTTCATGCAAAAAGTTCGCGAGACTGGTATCATATATGTTGAAGCTGTGCAAGCTTGCCCTGCTGAGCGTCTTGGGACGCATAGCTCGAGCCGAACGATGCCAGAGACCATTGGCTTTTGCAGGTCAAGGCTCAACCTCACTTGCCGTTTGCCGGTGTCTCGCCTCGTCAAAGCGCGGTACCGTTGTATGCCTCCTGGCACAAGATCATAGCGATATGGGATAACTCAAGCGAATCGGCGAGCAGAGATCTCGCGGACGTGACGCGGATCGTCAAAGAAGGCGCAACGATGCGATCTAGGAATTCGACGGCATCTGTCCGATTTCTAACAGCGTGCGGGGTCAGACGACCATGAAGAGGGACAATACGACAAGAAAGTGGCGAGAAATAATAGACCACTGCACGCGAGTTGGGCGACAGGAAGATGAGTGAAGTCGGGATCCGTGCGTCTCTTGGCACGCGCTTCAGTGAACATCGAATATTCTACAATGCTTGGCAACCCTATATCAAAAGTTCAAGATGTCAAAATGCCATATCTCGATGACCTCGCAGCGCAACGCAACACAACCAGTTTCACGCAAAAGAGAAGCGCGACACCTGAGAGATTCGAACTCTCGCCTCCGAAGAGACTGGCTTGAGTTGATCGTTTAAAACGATCAGTCCACTTGACGAGGATGTCTAGCAGGCCAGCGCGTTAACCACTCCGCTGCTTTTCATCAGCATTGATCAAGAAACGACGTTGATTTGGGACAACTAACCCAAAGTGCCTTGAAAGACGGGTGTTGAAAGAATTATTAATAATTACAGCGTTGTCTGCGTTGCGGGGGAAGCCGTAGCCGTAGCCGTAGCCGAGCGCGAACCTGGCGCTGTAGGGGCGCCTGCTGCGCTCTCTTACAAACTATCAACAAACAACAGAATACTGAACACACAGCACTACTGTTAGCATCGCAAACTACACAAGCTCTCAGACAGAACATCGGCGCATTAGACAATACTTCTTCTAGCTCGGAATGCCTTCTTACGTTAGCACCCCGCCCGACCTTCCGGCGCTTGCAGACGCATCTCAGATTGTTACCGACAACTTCAGACGCTTTGCCAATCTGCCAGCAGTAGATGGCGGTGCCGCGATCTTGACGGCTGTCAATACTCTGCAGGAGCAGGTACAGCAGATGCAGCAACACATGGCGCAGATGCAGCAGCAGATGCAGCAACACATGGCGCAGATGCAGCAGCAGATGCAGGAGATGGAAACTCGGATACTTACACGTATCTCCTCAAGGTACTATACAGCTATACAGACCCTATTCTATGTTATTCGAGCTAATAGATCTGGAATAGCGATGCCAACAACCTTGCTCGCCTCGCTAATTCACAGCTTACTTCGCCCGAACACGCTCTTATACCGCTACGAAGCATAACCAATACTCTAATCGACAATTTTCCTGCTACGCCAGCCGCAATCGCAACATTCTCGCAAGCAAGTCTAACGAACTTGCTTACAGCATTAGGCGAGGACCCGAATGGAAGCATTGGAGTGAAACGTCAGCGCTTTCGCCGAGCTCTTGGGTTGCAGGAGGAAGCTGTATAATATACTTATACTACGATGAACGACATTCAGTTACGCGCAGAATTGGTAAAGGGACTACAATTATTCGACATTGTATAGTCCGTATAATGGAGCATACGGAAGAGGATCAAATAACCTAGAATGAGCTCTGTGTATACACCGCGTAAGATAATATGCGTCTCAAATTGGCGTAGGATGACACAGAAGACGGACGCGATTTTCCTTACAACTCGAGATCCCCCGTATGAGTAGCTCACACGTTGTAGTCTTGGCGATGTGGACCAATCACCATTTATGGAACGCCCCTCTCGCATCCTTGGCCCAAACCTACTCTCACCACCTGCAAGACGGTCAAATCGACCATTTTGGATCGATCAGTCCGAGCGATTTAGTGACCATCGAGCCCCTACTTCATTATTGCTTGTCTGAAAGCACGAGAGAAACCTCACCAACCTCAGAAACATAGACCGTCGGCGTTGATTCGGCAATTTCTTATGCACAACTTTTCGGACCCCCGAGATGGTCGAAGCAATGTCTACTTTAGAGAACGTTGGCGACAGTGGAGAGAGTGGACCTGCTGCAATACTTACATCAGTAAAGAGTATTCGCTTCCTCAACTCAATACTCTTTCTTTTGGAGAGTCGCTCTGTAACGCTTTTGACATCGCATCTTTTCAGCAGAAACACATACACCCTTTCGCAGCATTGAATGGATCAAATCTTGAGGGAATCGCTCCCTGCTGCTGCTACTCCTCGGAGCTCAGATATGTCAGCAGAAGAACAGGTCACCAAGACACTGCCGTCCAACCTGCCCCAGTCAGTGCCAAGCGCAATAAGAGCTGCTGGCGCAAGCACGACAAAGGTTGAACGACAGACGCCAGTCCATGGTGGCCTCAAACCAGAGCGACCACCTCTCCCACGATTCACAACGAGTCATGAAAACGTCCTTGCTCAGTTCTTCATTGGAGCTCTCGATCAAGGAACGACTAGTACACGTTTTATCGTCTTCGATGGCGTTGGCCAGCCTGTCGCGAGTCACCAGCATGAATTCCAGCAGCACTATCCCGAGTCAGGATGGCACGAACACAATCCGAAAGAGCTAGTTGCGAGCGCAGAAGCATGCATGAAGAAGTGCATCACATCCTTCACAGAGCTTGGACATGAGATCCGCGATATTCGAGCGATTGGTCTCACCAACCAGCGAGAGACTGCGCTTGTATGGGACAACGAAACCGGCGAACCATTGCATAATGCAATCGCATGGCCTGATACTCGAACGAAAGGTCTCGTTCGAGAGTTGAAGCAGAAAGAGACCGAGCTAGGCCTGGACCTCTCTGAAATGACTGGAATGCCACTGTCCACATACCCTTCAGCAGTGAAGTTGGTCTGGCTGCTCCGCCACGTACCAGAGGTGAAGGAGGCATATGATCAAGGACGACTTGCTTTTGGGACTGTCGATACCTGGTTGCTGTACAATCTCAATGGCAAGAAGAAGGAGTACTTCGTGACAGACTCCACCAATGCATCGCGAACGATGTTCATGAATCTACATACTGTCCAATACGATCGAAAGCTTCTGGAATTCTTCGATCTTGACATCGATAAGCTTCATTTACCACGTATCGTGCCTTCCTCGGATCCAGACGCATACGGTCGCGTAGCATCAGGCCCACTCGAGGGCATGCGGATAGCAGGCTGTCTTGGTGACCAGTCAGCAGCTTTGGTCGGGCAGCAAGGATTCACACCAGGCTCAGCCAAGAACACATATGGTACGGGTTGCTTCCTTTTATACAATGTCGGCGAGAAACCAGTCATCTCCAAGCACGGTCTGCTTGCAACAATCGCGTACGATTTCGGGCGTCAGCGAAAACCTGTGTATGCACTTGAAGGATCAATTGCTGTTGCGGGATCAGGCGTCAAATTCCTCATGAACAACCTTGGATTCATTACTCATTCACACAAGATATCCGACCTCGCGGCCACGGTGGAGGATAATGGCGGATGTGTGTTTGTAACGGCATTCTCGGGACTTTTCGCACCATACTGGATCGACGATGCAAAGGGAACGATATTCGGAATCACACAGCATACGCAGCGAGGGCATATAGCGCGAGCCACTCTGGAGGCCACATGCTTCCAAACAAGAGCAATCCTGGACGCTATGGAGATGGATAGCGGGCACAAGCTTTCAAACTTAGCCGTCGACGGAGGCATGTCCAACTCGAATCTCTGCATGCAAGCGCAGGCCAACATCATCGGCATTCCTGTGGACCGTCCTGCCATGTGCGAGACCACAGCACTCGGCGCGGCAATCGCGGCTGGATTCGCTGTCGACGTCTGGAAAGAGTTTGACGAGCTCAAAGCGATCAACCAGAAGGACAGGAGAATTTTTACGCCCGATGTCAGCCCAGAAGTGTCGGAGAAGATGTTCAACAAATGGAGTCGTGCTGTGCAAATGTGTCGCGGCTGGCTTGACGCTGATGAAGGTGGAGGAGATTTCGAATAGGAGTTTCGAGATGTTTTTGTAGATATGCAGACTAGACGTGTATGAGTGATGGATGTATTATCTGATTCAATATGGACCATCTCGCAGGTCATACCTCAACCTCAGGCCGATGTTGTCAGTTGTCAGAAAGCTGTGCCAATTTCGAAATCGTGAGAAGTCGCAGTGAGTATACCATTTTGGGGGTACCTCTGCAAGATGCGCATCTCATCCGATTGGTTCAGCATTTTGATATCCTGGATCCGAGGCGAAGGCTGAGTTCACACACAGTTGCTCTTCTACGCATTCATCAGCTTCTCAACAACGCTGGCCAAACCAGATCTTTCGCGCCCATGTCGCCCCGAAGAACACAAGGTCAATGTCCTCTCGCTATATATAATCGGCGGGCCTCTCCCTCTCACCCACCCCACCGCGCAGCATCTAGCCCCAGGAAAATTTTCTGATATGTCGTGCACCCCCAGCCGCTATGCACGAGCAGCATGGCCGTCGCTCATGCGCAGCGTACAGCGTCAAGCCAATGCCGTACATATTCTAGTGGCAGGCTGTCAAGCAGTCTGGCACTCGTCGTCCATGCATGACAGGACCTCATGATGCATGAAGAGGCCACATCCACAGTTGGTGGGCCGATGGCAGATGCAGGCTTTTCTGCTCCCGATTTGAGATATATCACAAATGGATGTGGCAAGCATACGGATGTTACGCAGGCATCCCAGTGCTTCGGGTCTCTTCTCTCGGCGGCCGTCTCTTTCGACGATACGGATATCCTCTTCACCGATCCATCTCGCAGGTTTGCTGGATGCTCACTGCTTGCCGCTGCAGCAAGCACCGGATGGCGGAATGCAGATTCGTGGGCAGCGAATGCAAGGAATGCAAGATTCGGACCAATGCAGGAAGTGTTGACGTTACAACTTCTTGTCATGCACCAGACCCTCACCGCTCGACATCCCATCGGGCCATCGCAGATCTCCCTGGGCGGGAACGCGTTTCCGGGTTGGAGAGGCGTTACAGCGGCGACCGTGCGAGGGTTTTGTGGCGTGGGAAGTCCTCCAGCAGGCTCCGCCTACGCCTACGCCTACGCCTACGCCAGCTCGACAACCAGCTGGGGTGACATGGCCTGCACGGCTCCGAGATCCTTGACATTCTCTCCAGCACAACGACCTACTCAACTGCATCGTGGCGTCTTTCATCAACACCTACGGGCATTTAGACATGGCAATTGCCCGGGCGGCCGAAGCCTGGACGCTTCTCTATTGAAGTTCAATGTCCCAGCTCAAAACGGGCAAAACAGTGCTGGAAACATGCCGAGTCTCCCAGAGACGTATGATTCGCTGCCAGTGCATCTGAGCCTTGTCGATGGGACAGGCCGGTGCACCCGGATACCCATCCAAGCAGCCGGGCGGCGTCAGCCATCGCAGAGCACGCGGAACATGTGCCTTCTCCAAATCGAATTCTGATATGGCAACCACACGGAGACGAGAACTCGTGTCAGCTTCTGCTTGAGCTCATCTCATCATCATCCAAGCGTGGTTGATGTTCGCAGTTGCCATGGCATGGCTAATATAGCGTGGGGATGGGCAGGCTAGATCCTCCTCGGCATTCTACAAGTCATTTTCCTCACCCAAGACACTACGCTGGGGCAGCGATTAACGAATCGCAAGCTCCATCACCCACGCTGCTATCTTATTCGCGGATACTGCTGGTCTGTCGTCCCGGCCTTCAGCCATCACTCTTTCATGATTTCTTCAGAGGACTACAGTACCCCACTCGTCGACTGTGTAAAGCCGAATTGTGCCGCAGCAAGTCTTCGCATCTTGCATGTCTAGCGGGCTGGAAGGGCTCTGGTAACACATACATAACGTGTAGCCGTAGAATCTATATCATTTACAGTAGGGCCGACGGAGCCCGTGTCGCTGGCAAGCCGATTGTTCAGCTGCCGACTGGGATGGACGCAACCTGCCGGAAGACAATCTGTTTCGACCAGTTTTGTCCGACGGGGACAATCGGATCCTGAGATACATTACAGAGCCTCTTCCAAGATCTCTCCACCGGACAAGCTCCCTCATCAGACCATCGACGCATAGACGCCGACTCATACCGGATAAGGCTACAACACCCCACAGACGTTCACGACCGACGAGCAAAATGTGCGATTACACCAAAGTCGAATACGCCTGCGGTCATCTGAGATACACCGTGCGCGCCTGGTGTGAGTGTCGCGACTTCGATGAATGCAGTTTGATTCTGATCATCTCAAGGCATCAAGTATCAAGAGACCCATAAGCGGTGTCCGGCAAACGTTGTTGCCATCGAATACAGGCTTGACGAGAAGTGCGGTAAGGCTATCAGTGTCATCGCAATTTGGGCGCCCAGGCTTGACTGGTTGCTGACATCGAAACAGGCGACTGCAGAGAGAACACCTCGCCAATGTACACGCTGAAGAAGAAGGCCTCAGTGCTCCCCAAGAAGGAAAATTCGTCGTCGTCCAGGAAGTGATTGCGGCGATGGACTTTGTGCTTGTTTGTTGGATGGTAGTGCGAAATGGCATCAAACCAGTGACCACTTGACAAACAATAGAGGTATTACACGCTTCCGGTCCCATAGTGTCTCATTCATTGCGTGGTCACAATCTCTCCCGTACTGTAGAGTGTAGCTGACCCGGGGACAGGCTGCACCAAGTCGCCCCCGACACACTGGTACGGATCGGAGTTGTACAAGGATAAGCGCATCGATTATTGATCACGCGGCAGACATTGTGCGACGCATAGCAAGCCACTCGTTGAACAATACGCACAGTAGCTTGGCCGGGATCATTTGCGCTCTGGGGGCACCAAGCGAATGGGTCGACGCTGAGTGGAGCAAAGGCGATACCGCGAGGTGATTATCGATGAGCCTAAGCCATCGGAAACAGCCCGCAAGACAGTGCTGCATGAGATCTTCAGAACGAGCGAATGTGGTCTCGATGCGCCGGAGTCTGGCGACGTGCCAGAGATGTATACCTTCTGCCATTGATTCCATAGCACGGAGCATGTGCGCGCTTCTTGACAGGTAGTTGTTCGCGATCTGTCGACTGAGCTATCTGTATCCAGACCTTGGCCTACAGGCGATCATTTTGTGGACTGCGTGCTCCTTCATCACGCTTCATTATCAGCACCGCTGTGGATCGAGACTTAGAGGGAAGGCACGCTCTCGTGCTCCGGTTCTATCCTTCTCATTGCTGACTCCACTCGCGGGCTGAAATCACACTGAAAGCACTGTAGAAGCACGCCGTTCCGTGCTTTCTGTGATATGGACGCAGCCTTCCTCAAGATGTGACCTTCGAAACCTCGGCGAACACTCTCTCATCTTGCCGCGGACAATCGGAATCTCCTGTCGGCCGGAGTCAAGTTATGGCGGCAGGGGACGAAGAGGAGACATCACGCTTGGAACTGCCGGTCCGGTCGCCGTCGTTCGCCATAGTAGGCCTGAGAGAACACCATGTTGGTTGTGATCTTGGTATGATTCCTGTGGGCATGTCCGACCTACTATACAATCCATGCTGTCAATCCTTGCGTTTCAGGGCTGCTGTCAACTCGACGAAGGATCACGCCAGAGCACGCGGGCGACGAATTTTCAACGATGGGAACGACGACAACTTCGTGTTTGGAATAGACAGAGTGGGCCATCTAACATGGAACGCAGCTTTCACGCTCAACGGCGGCCAACTCCGAGATCTACATCTCTCACCTACTTACTGAGCAGAGCACAGACCGATCGTTCGCGCGTGCACGGCTTGAAATTAAATTAGGCTCAGGCCATTGGCGGCGCTCAGGCCAGAGTTCCAACGTCCTTTCTGCAACTGGTCACTCCCCAGTCGAATTTCTTACAAGTACCGAATAGGAGCACTTGGGAACTCTTCCTAATGAACTCTGTTTGTTCCCAGACCCAGTCATCCGGTGCAACCTTCCGCCGCATGGGAGTTCACTCACGTGTGCATCCTGGTTAAAGGGACAAAGGATATGATTTGCTTTGTGCGTTTGACGATACGCAACTCCCAGGAGAGTGCATGAAGGTCCAGCGGGACCGCCAGAACCACAATGTCTGGTTCAACTTACCAAAGGTTAAATATCTGGCTTCAGAGAAGGTGCTTCTCCATCAGCCACTAGGTATGGTGCTGCTGCGAAGGGGCGTACTTGTACAAGATCCACGATGAGATGACACGGTAGCGGAGCTGATCAACGTAAAGTCATTATGCCGAGGGGCAAATCAGGTCTGGTGACGATTTTGGCCGCCAGAAGCACTCGTGGCTCCCGCGGCGACAACCACAGAGCCATCGGCGCGAATTCGCTTCCGGGAGGATGCTTTCCGACAATCGAACGTGCGTTGCTGAAGGACACAACAATACTTGGCATGAGGCATTCGATGACAGACACTTTTGTGACGTGGGATGGCGCTTAGCTAGCTGGAAGGCTGGGTGTGGTGCGCTCGATTCGGTCCCCGAGGATCTGTCTTTTGATTCGCGAGAGTGGCAACAATGTGATCGACTTACGAGCTTCACTGCCCGTTGCATGTGGTTGGATGAGACAGATTGCCGACAGAATGAACATGCCAACTCTCGCGGAACCTGCCTCAGAGGGTTCCTGGATACATTTCATCGATGCAGGTGTACTGGGAGAGCAGTCAATTAGATTGCCTATCGTTATTGGGATTCATGAAGAAGCAAGATCGAGTCTTCTCCAGGATGTTCCAGCCAGACAGGCTCTAATATGATAAAGGTCGGGGAAGTGGTTAGGGCCAGGTTAGAACCACAGACCCGTTCTGCATCAGCTTGAGCATATACTTGCCCCTGCTTCTATTGTATCTGAGAAAGGCGGTGGATGATTACTGGGCAGGCGGATTCGAAGCCGACTCGCCCCTTTCCAGTATCATTCGCCACGACAAGATGAATCATCGCCGATTGCGGCATCTCCTTACTATCCTGGTACGTCTCTTTGTAATCAGTGCCTGCTCTACCAATCTGGAAGCGGTCCTAACTTGCATATGATAGCACAGAATTCTGCATTGACATATAAGCGCACGAGAACATTCACAGCACTTATCGATGGTGTCGACAAGTTCCAACAGAAGAGTCTCTTCTATCTTCCGCTGGCTTCGGCCTTTGCTCGCTCACGGTGAAACAGACTACGTACGCCCCATCATCCCATCCGAACTCTGCGTGGTACAACGCCCGGATGGTATGTACGCGTCGATCAAGCTGACGAGTCATGGCAGGTCCCAATTCAAGTCTCCGCGCGGAAAGGACAAATACTGTCAGTATGTCATTGTCAGTCTTGCTTTCACTCCCATCAAGGATCGCTCAGAGCTCGAACGTGCACGATGGAACGGCTGCTTCAACCTTCAGATTTCGAGGGCGTACTTTTTTCCAGCCAGAGGACTCGCGACAAGAGCAGCTCATTAACTCTCCAGGTCTTGCCGTATGCTGCGTCGGCTTGTCTAATTGCCCGACTCAAAAGGCTTCTTCCAAGCTGTAGTTGGTTCCAGTTCAAGAATGGTTCGAACAAAGCTCAAGAGACACGAGTCATGACTGACTGTCTTCACTTTGCTTCTGCGATTCGAACTGGCTCACGTCTCATTGGTATCGTTATGGGCGTTACAGTACGTCTCAGACATGATGGCAATGCCTTCGCTCGCAGTGATTCGATGGACTGGTCGCAAGTCTTGCCAAAGCACTCACCGTCCTTGGCGGCCCCAGCGGCCCGCTTTGTGTCACATGAAGCTTGCGGTGGAAGCTTCAGGCGGTGCCTTCAGCAAAAGTGGGTCTTAAAGCAAACTTCACTTGCCAACCTACATCTTTCGCGACATCTATCTCCTGGTACGACCGAGTTGAAAAGCTGAGCAGGAATAACATCGCCCGTCCAGAACAGAGCAATCGAGAAACCACACGGCAGCCTTGAGCCATCAACTCAACACCTCGACCGAAGCCGGGACCGTCACTTCGCAGACCGCTGCGCTGTCCCAGCTGTCGAGCGCGGAGCGATCTCAAGCAACATGACCCCCGACCAACAATTCCTTCTCAAGCGCCGCCTGAAGGACCTCAACGAGCTTCGAGACAAGCCATATCCAGGCATTAGACTCCACATCGACGACGCGGACCTTAACAACGCGTGCCTTGTGCTTGAGCCCGAAGGCGAGACTCCGCTACACCTAACACTCCATTTCAGCAAAAGCTACCCGCTTGTCCCGCCAGACATCACAATCCAGAGCAGTGTCTCACACCCAAATGTCTTCGATGACAGGATCTGCATCAACATCCTGAGCAGCCGCGATGGATACACGCCAGCCTACACACTCAAAGGCATCTGCATACAGATGCTATCATTCTTCTTCAGCGACTCAATCGAGCAGATGTACGGCGAGAATGGGGGCAAGGTTGATCGCAAGCAATGGCAGGGCACTGGTGCCGATGGCTACGGCGACTTGGTGACAAAAGACACTTTCCAGTGCAACAAGTGCGGCTTCGGAGCCTCGCATTCTCATCCAGCATCCGACCAGGATGTCGAAATGTCTGATGCGCCTACGTCAGAGAGTTCACTCACATCGAATGGCGCGAGCAGCACGACTTCCGCAGACCCAAGCCACGTTCCCACGAGACTTATCGACATGCCACAAGAGCTGCTGCTGGTCATCTGTGATCATTTGGATGACGAGAGTCTGCTACTTGCGGCGCGAGCATGGAACGGCTTCGGGCGTGTGATGCGGCAATACAACATCATTCGCACGCGAGAACTGCAATGCTTCACCCTCAAGCAGGGCTTCAACGACCTGGATCTCGGCATTGGCGTCCACATCAAAGGCAAGAGCATCCAGTCAGAATTCGACATTCTCTCACAAACGGCATTCAAGAACCTGCAAGTGCGGCGGTCCATCCAGGGGTTGTCCTTCGAGCATTGGCTTCCCTTGCCAATTGCGCAGAAGCATTGGCTGCGCGTCCGAAATGGCATTGACAACCACTTCAAAGGCATTTCCAGTGCAGCAAATGTCGCTGGATCGGCCGACAAGGTCATATACTCCTTCATGAACGAAGTCGTCGTCAAGCTTTCTTTAGAAGCCAAGGACCTGGATACTCGTGGCCGTGGCTTCAACAGCTTTGATGGCGACGAGCCACCGAAGTCCACTCTGACGGCGGCATCCGAGAAGGCCATCGAGAGCTACTTTCACCTGTTCCATCTGCTCCTCTGCTTGGCCTGCGAGCGCCCCGAGATTCCAAATGAGGCCAACAACACCATCAAGAGCTTCATCGCTGGGAGTCACGACAAGCAGAAGGTGCCCGATCTAGGTCATCTGCTCATCATGATTCTTATCAGCGAAGTCGACGTCACTCCTGAGCTCATTAAGGCAATCATAGAGGAGGCTGTGACGCGAAATGTGGTCTGGATGCTTGACAAGCGAGGGCGGGATATGGTAAGTGCATGACACGCAAGACTCCGTGAAGTGAGCGTGGTGACGTTTGTCACGTTGGACACAGTGTGCTGACCGATTTATGTTCAAGGCCGAGCTGAGCTTCCTCGAAACCAGCGCAGTCTCCGGATATCGACTTCAGAAGACTTTCGAAGCCAGCAAGACGTCCTATCGACTTCTAATGTTCTTAAATGTCATGCGCAAGGTCGTCCGCTCCACTCGCACTCATAAGCAGGAAGACGGTAAGTGGACCCATGCATTGACAACTCAGCGCTGCTACAAAAGCCCTGGTCGCGTTGTCAAAGCCAGCATCTCTGCCCATTCCACCGCTTTCGGAGTCGACAGCACTCGCTGACTGTGTGATCCCAGGCTCTTTGAAGAAGCTGACGCTCGCTGAGCTGCGGGACCAGCTGTTCGACCGACATGGCGCACCACCAAATGGAGCAGCAGCAAAACTCGCAGAGAAGGTGAGTAATTTGTCAGTACTGTCGCGTAACTCCTGGTCAAAAGCGGCAGCGGTGGTCTCCACATCGCGTTGCGCACTCTAACAAATCAATCGCAGCACCTGGAGTGACCCATCCTCGAAACCACTGCTGACTCGTGCTTACAGGTCAAGGAGATTCAGCAAGTCAATGACTTCCCAGCCTTCTTGAGACACATGGACATCACTCCTCCGAATCCGAGGAGTTTCACCACATTCCTTCGCAGCACCATCCAGAAGTCTCATCAGCGTGGTTATTCGAAGCCAGCTTTAGCGCAAGAGCAGGCGCTGACTCTGCGAATGGAGCGCGAAGGACCAGACGTCGAGCGGCCGGAGGGTATGTCGCCTGCCGAGATTCGTGAACACAACTTCACATTCTTCCCGAATCAGCAGCGAGGCGGAGGCGGAGGTCGTGGCAGAGGAGTTGGACGTGGAGGACGCGGTGGACGCGGCGGACGCGGCGGTCGTGGCTATTAGTGAGCCGCCACAGGCCTTGCCGCACCTCGCTTGAGTACAATTAGATCGCAGGCGGTAGTGTTACCTGGACAGGAAATAGCCGAGCGCTAATCTTGAGTCTCCGTCGTGCGCTTCGCATAAGTCATCAGGAAAAGGAAGATTTGTCACTGCACTGCCGTACTCTTCCGCCATCCATTCGTATCGCGTTGGTTGTCTTGGCTCATCTAGATAATCAGAGGGTGTTTTCTTAGACCAGGTAAAGGGCCTTGTTGAACAAACTACGCAGTTCTGTCTCTTCTGCAGCTTCTATTTTGGCCTATGCTGGGTATCACTTTCCGTCTCCAGAGCTTTCGTTCCCTATCACGAGCTCCATCTCCTCCTCATCGCTAGATAGCGTCTTTCTCCCTATGATTCAGCACGCGAATCGAACCTAGCTGTTGAGCCTCTTTCTGGCCTTGTCGTCTCCCGTATGCCATCTCTTAGGTGATGCAGGGCGACGCGATTCAGCGGCCGATGTATGCTGCAAAGTCATGTTTTCCTCCAATGCTCAATGCTGGCTCACATATATCCGCCCTCCTTCTTCCACTTCTTAATATACTCCTTTCCATCCATTCGGCTATTAGTCTCGGTGTGTCCAAAGTAGTCCCTTTCCGGCCTCCCGATTCGCGATAAGACAAATGGTGTCAACTATAAAATCATCAGTTTCCGAATCCCCTGAGCGATTTGAACCAAGGCTTACATTGAAGTTACTCAAATCTGGACACACATATGTCCTGACCTTCTTGTAGTCGATTACATATCCTCCGTACTTGGTATGTCTTCCCATCGATCCGGTTCGATTTCCCTTGTAGTAGTTGTGCGGTCCTTGTTTCGTCGTCAAAGCCAGTCGCCGGATGGCTTTCTGAAGGATCGGTGATGGCTGCATCTTGGCCCTATACTTTCAAGAAGATGGTATCGTGAAGGAGATGTTGTTGGCGGGGCGGAGAACAGCGGAGGTGAAGTGCGCACAGACCACTCAGGATCGACGCCAAGATTTCGAGACAAAATCGAGACGGAAGCTGCGACTGCCACGCTTTCAACATTTTTTTGTTTACCAAAATGCCGGCACGAATCGCTCGCTTCAACGTGAGCAGTAGCAAGCCGAAGAACAATCCACGGACCAAGAACAAGAAGCGCAGCCTGAACGCTTATGCGCAAGCCCAAAAATTAGTCCCAGAGAAGCGCATACCGCGGCATCGATTAGGCGAAATCGAAGATGATGGACCGAGGCCGAAGCGACGGCGACATGACGACGATGAAGATCAAGACGAGGAAGAAGAGCCTCAGAGAAAGCGACCCGATCAGCGTCGAAGGCCCGGCCAGGAAGACGATCTAGAGTATGGCAGCGACAGCGATGGCAACGAGATTGTGCTAGGCGGATTGGCAGAAAATGGCGACGATAGCGACCTCGACTCCGATGAGGCATTTGGTGAGAGCGACAACGAGCGTTTCGAAGGCTTCACGTTTAGAGGCAGCTCGAAGCCGAAGAGCAAGAAGAAAGCACCTCAGCGGAGAGATGATGCAGAAAGCGATATTGATTTGGTCGAGGAGCCGCAGAGCGAAGATGACAGTGGTGACAGTCAAGATGAGGAAGGGTTAGGTCTGGGCGATGACGCAGTCGACCTGGCCGCCATGCTTGACGACAACAGCGAGGATGAGCAGGCGAACAACCGTGATGAAGCAAGTGGGAGTGATGAAGAGGACGATGCCGATGATGACAGTGACAGTGACGAGGATGAATTCCAAGAATTTGAGGACGACGAAGTGGACGAGGAAGGCGCGGCACGTCTGCAAGACTTTCTGGAAGGTCTTGATGCAAAACCTGGCGTGAAGAAATCAGAAGCACCTCAGCGGTCGGTCGTGACATTAGACGACTTTGCAGACGGCACCGAGCTAGCCGCAGAAAACAAAAAGTTGAAAAAGAAACATCAGCCTAAAGCAATGGCAGCACCGTTGCCGAAGAGGCAGCAGGACCGCATCGATCGTGAGATCGCTGCACAGAAAGCCAAAGAACAGCTTGATCGATGGCGTGATACAGTCGTACAGAACCGTCGAGCAGAATTTTTGAGCTTTCCACTCCAGCACCCGGACGATCAAGGCATCACAGTTGGCAAGGATAAATTCCTACCTGCAGCACAGCAAGCTCCTGCGAATGAGCTCGAAGAAAGCATTCAGCGCATCATGCAGGAGTCTGGGCTGCAGACGAAACAAGATGGCGAGACTGGCGCTGACGAGGATGATGTCGAGGCCGCGCTGCTGAAGGCTGAGGGCTTGGCGGAGAAGCATTTGCCTGTGGAAGAAGTGGAGCGGCGGCGTGCAGAGCTTCGAAGGGCGAGAGATCTGCTTTTCCGTGAAGAGATCAAAGCTAAGCGTATAGCCAAGATCAAGTCAAAGGGCTATCGAAGAGTGCGTCGTAAGGAGAACCAGAGGAATGCCGAAAATGAGCGAGACGCACTGCAAGGTTTGGGCTTTGAGGACGAAGGCGAGAAGGAGAAGCATGATCGCAAACGGGCTGAAGCACGAATGAGTACCAAACATAAAGATTCGAAATGGGCGAAATCACTAAAGCAGACGAATAGATCTGCTTGGGACGATGAAGCTCGAGACGGCGTCGTTGAGCAGGCACGAAGAAACGAGGAGCTCAAGAGACGAATTGCTGGTCAGGATGTGTCTGATGACGATGGCAGCCCTCATTCCGACGACAGTGACGACGATGACGTCTTTAATGGTCAGAAACTCGAAGCATTGAGGGCTGATGGTGAGCAAAAGAACGGTCTTGCTGCTTTGAAGTTCATGCGAGCTGCTGAAGAGCGGAGGCGAAAGCAGAACGATGAAGACATCGAGCGTATACGAAAAGATCTGGCTACTGCAGATGGCGAAGAAGAAAGTGATGTTGAGGATCAAAGCCTCGGTCGAGCCATATTCGGGCCCGCTGGCAAGGAATCGAGACAGCAAACAAAGGTCCAGAGGCATGAAATGGAGGCCCCGGATGACTTCGATGCAGGGGAAGATGATGGGGGAGAGACAGAGCATACTATCATCACCGAGAAAAGCAAAGCAAGGCCTACGACAAACAGTGTCTCTAAGAAGGCCATTACGAGTGGACCGCTCGCCAAAGGGCTACCACAGACTGTTGCTAATGACCATGGCGCTGGAATTGATTGGTTCAAGAAGGCCAAGAACCAGTCGAAGAACAAATCAGAGGTTGATGCGGACCTCATCTTGCGTTCGGATCCTACCAATCAGGATACTCAAGCCAAGCCTTCGAAGAAGGCTGACTTGAAAACGAATGGACAAGGCTTGACGACAGCGACCCATAATGGCGACGATGCATCCGACTCCGAAGCCGAAATGCCGTCCAATGCCATGACTTCAGCTCAGCTTCAACAGAGTGCTTTCGCCGGAGACGAAGTAGTTGCAGCTTTCCAGGCAGAGAAGGCGGATCTTGCAGCTTCAGAAGACGAGAAAGAGGTATCCAATCACCTTCCAGGCTGGGGTTCTTGGACAGGCGACGGTCTCTCCAGATCAATTAAGAAGGCGAACAAACGCGCAGCACATAATCCACTACACAAAACGAAAGTTGCAGGCGTCAGGCAAGCAGATCGCAAAGATGCCAAGCTTGAAAATGTCATCATTTCTGAGAAACAGGATCGAAAAGGCAAGAAGTATTTCGCTCCTGTTTTGCCTCATGGTTTCGAGACCAGAGAGCAGTATGAGCGTTCCAGACGTCTGCCGATGGGACCTGAATGGACGACGAAGGAAGTACATCAGCGAATGACCAAGCCGAGAGTCATTGTCAAGCCTGGTGTCAGGATGGAAGCTTTGGAACGTCCGACTGTATAGACCTTTTTGTAGCGGCATTGAAGCCAAATGGTTGACCTCTTTCGTTCTCAGCAACCCGTCTTGAGTTCGCATGCATCCTGCGTCTATCTTGTGAACTGCAGATAGCTTCCATCAATTTGCACCATGAACCGAATATGCCAAGCACTCATCACAGTTTTGTATTCACTTGCAGATCTTGCTAACATTTCGAAGGATGACGTTGTTGGCTTCGCTGTGACGCGTGCAGGAACCAAGCGGATATACTCCTAGACGCCTAAAGTCCGACTTTATCTTCGAAGCACTTCAGCTCTTGATCAAACATATAAAACACGAAAGGCAAACATCTTTCACGACCAAGAGATCATAAGCATCGAAGACAGTCTTCCCAAGATATTCCAACCAAAAATCCAACATGTCCCTCCCATCCAAAATCATAACTCTAGAAGAACACTGGGTTAGCAACCACATCCGCTCCTACTACAAAACAAAAGGCCTCCCCGACCCAAACGACGAAAACGGCATCGTAGGCACCATGACCCCCGCCCTCCAAGAATGGGGACCTCAACGCCTCAAAAACCTAGACGACAACAACATAACAACCCAAATCGTCTCCCACGTCTCCAACACAATCCCCATCGACTCCAAAACCTGCTCAGCCGCAAACGACGACATGGCCGCACAAATCTCAAAAAACCCAAAGGGGAGATACAAAGGTTTCGCAATTTTACCAATGAACGAACCCGAAGCCGCAGCGAACGAACTGCGCCGATGCATACAAGACTTGAATTTCGTCGGAGCTTTGATCGACGATACCACGGGTGGTCGTTTCTACGACGCAAAGTTTTTCTGGCCTGTATTCCGTGAAGCCCAAGATCTTGATGTTCCCATCTACATCCACCCTTCCCCGAACAACGTCACGAAACCTTTGCTGTACGATGGAAATTACCCGGAAGCGATCGCTACGGCATTATCACAGTTTGGATGGGGCTGGCATTCTTCCTGCGCCGTGAATTTTTTGAGGATGTTTTCCGCTGGAGTTTTTGATGCGTATCCGAAATTGAAAATTGTGCTGGGGCATATGGGGGAAATGTTACCGTTTCAATTCGATAGGATTGAGAGTATTACCACGAGGGTTTATCCTGCGGTTGGGGTGCAGTTGGGGAGGGGGTTGAGGCGGGTTTGGGATGAGAATGTGTGGGTGACGACGAGTGGGATGTTTTCGCTTGCGCCGATGGCTTGTCTTGTGAGGCAGACGGAAATTGAGAGGATTATGTTGAGTGTGGATTTTCCTTTTACGAGGAATGAGTTGGGGTTGAAGTTTTTGAGGCAATTGCAAGAGGATGGGATGGTGGCGGAGGAGGAGTTGGAGGGGATTGCTTGGAGGAATGCGGAGAGGCTGTTAAGGTTGGAGTAGAATAGAGGTGGGAAGTAGTGATGCTTGTGTGACAATGTAGATTCAGAAGTTAGAGGCGTTTTAGAAAGGCCTTGTCTATCCTCCTTGCGCTGGCCCTGATTGTTTCATTATCGCGTTACTTTCTTGTCGGAGTGTGAAGTTGGGTCACAGTGAATCGATGTTTGTTTGACCCTCAGCAGCCGGAACTGCTCTTGTAGCAGACGCCGTCTGCGGTCTGCTGGACAACAACACCAGTATCGAGCACAGTCCTAGCACACAACTCTTCCAGATGCAGTGGGGTCTTCCGTCGGACTTGCCGCGTGAAAGTACTTTACCTAGATCTTGGGTCGTTACCACATCCCATGCCAAAATGTCGCTAAACTTGTCGCCTCGCCACAAGATCCAGGATTGGTAGCAGAGCTTTCACGAGTCCACCGCACACTCAATCGGCCTAGCCCCCTTCAGCGGATTTCTTCTTCTCATGCAAAAGTTTCAGCAAATCAGCCACAACAGCGGCATTCTCATCCGACTGCTTCTGCGCCTTCGATTCATCCAGAGTATTCAGCTGTCCGAAAAGCCACATTTCTTGCATTTGGCGGATGAGACTCTGGACTTCTTCAGCAGCGCGGATCTACAAAACATCATCAGTATGAGTACGAGCATTTTCGAAATGTAGCCATAAGTCCAGCTACATACTAGCGCAGCAGTCTCGGTTTGAATCTGGTATTGTGTGACTGCAGTGACAGAGCGATCGGTCTGCTTGTTTCTGACCTGCGCAGATTCAAAATCAGTCGCCGCTCAGGGTGAAGTTCATGTTTTCCATCCGTACTGCTGCAAGGCCGATGAGGTTGCCATATCGCTTGATCAGGGCCGCCTGTAGCTCGCCGATCTTGTTGTTGAGATCTTTCAGATTACGCAGAGACGAATCCATGGTGCGCAGGAATGAGAACGTGCAGAAGTCCGGTTGAAAATCGGCGCATCGCTGGAAGGAGTTACGCGAGTGATCTGAGGTAGAACATGTTGACTAAAGAAGTCGACGTCTAGAGTCGAAGATGAAGTGAGGGTGGAGCGCGTTGCATGTGCCAAGCAATCTTGGCGCCTCGGGTTCACAGAGTGGGAGGCGAGAATGTAATAGTGTGCAAAGCAGACTCCACTTGTGTTAAAGCCATCTATATCAGAAGAGCAGAGCTAAACTACGTACGCCCGAAAGCAGATAAAGCAGACCCATTTTGAGCGTTTATAAAGCCAAGAGTTTAAAGGAGTGGAGTGGAGTTGACAGTCTGGTTGAACGCACGACAAAACCATTGCAAGCAAGCAAGCAAGCTAGAGCATTGTAAGTAGCAATTTGAAGACGAGCTTTTACTCGTCATCCTCGTCCGATTCGTCAGACTCAGCGTTCTCGAGCCACTCGGCAAACTTCTCAGCACTCTTGCGAACTTTCTTGGAGGTCTGAATGTCGACGTGCTTCTTGCTAGCCTTGGTGCACCAGGCCTTGAGGACCTCCTCTGAGACAAGGTCGTCCTCGTAAATCTTAAGCAAGATAGCGCTGACTGATGGGATGAGATTTGGCTTGTCGTTGCCAACGAACCGCTCGATACCGCCTAGGAAAGCCTTCTCGTGGCGCTCGGAAGTGATCATCTTCTTTAGCATGCTGGCACGGCTTGGAATCTGCTTGACAATGCTGTCATCAAACAGCGTCTGAGCCAGCACAGTCAAGGTACGGTGCTTTGCTTCGATGCCGAGGTCCTTTGCCTTGAGATAGACGTCGACATCCTTCACCTTGGCCACGCCACCTTCCTCCTCAGCCTTGGTCTCGATCCACTTGCCGAAGTCGTCGTAGACGTTGCCGCCATCATCCTCCTCGTCGCCATTCTCGAGGGAGAGGGCGCCCTTCAGGTCGTCAGGAAGGGCCTGAGCACGAGCCTTGATAGCTTCCTCCGACATGTCAACCGACCACTCAACCTCCTTATCCTTGACTTCGTTGAGTTCCTTGGCTTCGGCATTGATGCGCTTCGTAAGCTCGTCATCGCTGGCGCCGTCAATGTCTCCGTTGTCCTCATCAGCATGGTCAGATCCGCTGTCGCCATTGCTGTGACCACTGCCGTTGGCGTCGTCTGCCTCGCCGTTCCTCTCGGCTTCCTTGCGAGCCTTGCGATCAGCCTTCTTGGTGGATTTGTCCTTCTTGCCTTTCTTTGGAGCGTTCTTCAAGATGAACGATGACAACTTGTGGCGCAAGTCAGCCTTTGAGATTTTGCCGCAGGCCTTGCAGTCAAGTAAAATGTCGCCATCCTTGATGTTGATGACAGTCTCTGGGTTCTTGCAGTCTTTGCAGAGAACGAACTTGTTGATGAAGCCGTCGAGGTGGTCCTGCAGCTTGCTGGCCTCGTGGGCACCGTTGATGATCCAGCGGTCGTCCTTGGGGTCGATGTTGGTCTGGGCGCCAAGTTCGAAGCCAAAGTACTTGATGACATAGTTTGGCGGGCGAGCCAGCTGGTGGGCGACGTTGCTCAAGTTGACGATGACGGTCTTGATACCGTTACCCTTGCCCTCAACCTTGGACTGAAGGCGCTCCATCTTGTAGCGGTAGAAGGGATCAGCAACATCGCGGCGAATGTTGACGTTGGCCATGGTTGCGGTGTTGCGTGAGGAGGCTGTGGTAGACTTGGTTTCGGTGCGGCGGAGGAACGAGGAATATGGCGATTACGATCTCTGGTGGTATGTCGGTAGAGACATACAGTAGACACCAGCGTCAGCGTTTGCTGCTGATGCGTGTCTAGGCTAGGCGCTTTGTAGCGGGAATTTTGGGCGAATTTCTGTGATGATCCAGGGTGATGGATTTAGGCAGAGAGTCAACCGTTGTTGCGCTCGTGGCCACTACTACGAGGTCTTCGCAGTAAGCGGAATGGTTGCTGCAAAGGCGGCGGTCCGACTAGAAAGGCGTTCGCGTGGGACGAATACATATACCCTGCGCTGTGGTCGGTGATGCAGTGCGGGTGTTGGTAGAGTCCTCGAGGGGCGGGTATGATGAAGAAGTGCGGCGACGGGAGTTCGCCTGGCGGGTGTGAAGGGTGGTATTGCTGTTTGCTGGGGAGCAGTTTGTGGATGGCTGCTGACGGCAGGATACTGAGGTGTTGATGGGGATCGCAGGTGGAAGTGTTTGTGGGTGAGAGGAAGAAGGAAGAATCGGAGGCAGAGAGAGGCGAATTGAAGCGATGCTGAGCCGAAGGGCCGTGCGGGTACCCGTGCGCTAGTTCTCAACCCGGACAACCGAGATGCCATGCGCGTGCAAGATCACACATGCGCCTTTGACGCACGCACTCATCATGCCACTTTCTGCGACACCCTTCACGCCGGCAGCAGGCAGCTCCGACAGGCCAAAAGTCATGATGTACATGTAGTTCTAGGCAACCCACGGCAAGCGCAAGTCGTCACTCGGCTCAGTACAGAGTGAAAGCCACTCCGAGAGCACTCTATCCCCCCTTCATCGAGTCACATGGCTCACATGCAGTCATGGCTCCGCTCCGGGTAGACTATTCGCTCTATCTCGTCACTGATTCAACGCCTGCCATTCTCGGAAGCAAAGACCTGGTCGCGGTGGTGAAAGATGCCGTGGCTGGAGGTACGACATCAGTCGCATTTGCTGGAACATGCCTTGCTCACGTGCATACAGGTGCCACAATCGTGCAATATCGAGACAAGACCTCAGACACTGCGGATCTCGTGAGGATAGCAAAGCAGCTGCATGCAGTCACAACGCCGGCAAATGTGCCATTACTGATCAATGACCGCGTCGATGTGGCATTGGCTGCTGGAGTGGAAGGCGTTCATGTCGGGCAAGATGACCTGGACTTGAAAACTGCACGCAAGATCCTTGGGCCTGATGCTATCATTGGAGTCACCGCGAATAATGAAGAAGAAGCCTTGATTGCTGCCAAAGATGGGGCCGACTATCTAGGTATTGGAACCGTATACGCCACCCCGACCAAGGCAAACACAAAATCCATCATAGGCACTGCTGGGGTGCAGTTCATCTTGAACTCCTTGGCAGAGAAGGGGTTGGATGTCAATACAGTTTGCATAGGTGGCATTAACGCCAGCAATGCTCAGCGTGTGCTGTTCCAGACCGCATCCGCGAAGAAGAAGCTTGATGGTGTGGCTGTAGTCAGCGCCATTGTTGCTGCAGACGATGCGAGAAAAGCTGCTTCAGATCTTCTTCGACTGGTCAGGACACCACCACCTTTCGCCACTACTCTAGCAAAGCCGAAGCTGCTGCGGCAAGATATCGTTTCGAAAGCTCCTCAAGTAGTCAAGCGGATGGCCGGCAGGAAGCCGCTATGTCACAACATGACGAACCTTGTAGTTCAGAATTTCGCCGCCAACGTCGCTCTCGCCATTGGATCATCTCCAATAATGTCGAACAATGGTCTGGAAGCACCAGATCTCGCTGGTCTTGGAGGCAGTCTCGTCATCAACATGGGTACAACGACACCTGAGATTCGAAGCAACCACTTGAAGGCACTAGCAGCGTACAATACTGTCGGCGGCCCAACTCTGTTGGATCCGGTAGGAGCTGGCGCCACTCAGCAACGAAGAGATGGAGTGAAGGCGCTGATGGAAGGGGGCTATTTCGATATTATCAAAGGTAATGAGGGAGAAATCCGCACGGTGGCAGGAGCTACAGGGCTCCAGCAACATGGCGTCGATTCAGGAGCATCACAACTTTCATTGGAAGAAAGAGTCACCCTCGTCAAGGCCACTGCTGCACGCGAGCACAGCATCGTCCTTATGACAGGCAGTACAGATGTCATTTCTGATGGAGAGCGTACATTCACACTCAGCAACGGACACGAGTATCTTGGCGAGATCACTGGCAGTGGATGCTCGCTCGGCACCACGATTGCAAGCGTCATGGCCGTCGAGCGCGAAGATAAGCTCCTAGCTGCTGTGAGCGCATCATTGATGTATGAAATTGCTGCTGAGCGAGCAGCAAAGCGAGAAGATGTGAAGGGACCAGGAACATTCGTACCTGCTTTCATTGATGAGCTCTACAGAATTCGACAAGAAAGCGTGGCAGAGAATGGATCCTGGGCTGAAGCAGCACGGATCGAGGTCGTATAGCCTACTCAAATTCAGCTTTACAACTTGCTCTTCCCTCCAAGCACAACACCCAGCAACCAATCCTTCAAAATCGCATTCGTCTCATCCGGCGTATGCCACAAAGCCCAGTGACCCGCGTCCACCTCAGCCCTTGTCAAATTCGGAATCGCCTTCTCCATTCCCCTACTCATCTCCCTCGTCAAGATAGCATCCTTCGTCGCAAGAATATACAACGTCGGCTGTTTCACAGCCTTCTTCCTCTCCGGTTCCAAACCCAACTCATCCTCAAAATTAATCTTCCTCGTCCTATACCAATTACAAGGACCATTAATACCATTCTTCAAAAACTCCTTCACATAATACTCCAACTCCTCTTCATTCAACAAAGGACTCATACCAACCTCCTCACCCTCATCCTCCAAAATGCTCAAATCAATCCCTTTCTCACCACTCATGAACCTCTTCCCACTCCCAACTTTCCCCCCATACATCCCCAACAAAAACTTCCTCATCCTCCTCTCATCCCCCTCCCTCACAGCCTTCTCAACCACGCAATCCTCACTCCCAAACTGCAACTGATACCCAAACTGCGGCACACTCCCACTCTCCACCAACTCCCTCGTACTCACATACCTCTCATGCACCGGCGCATAAGCCGTCGCCACACTAAAAACATGACTAATAAGCTCCGGCTGCCATTGAGCAATTCTATACACAGCCATTCCTCCCCAATCATGTCCTCCAATAACCGCAGTCCTGATTTTTAGACTTTTGGCAATCCCCGCGACCGCTTCGGCATGGGTTTTAAAACTAAAGGCGCTGAGATCTGAGGTCGTGCCTGTGTTTCCGTACCCCATGCAGTCGAGAGCAATGCTGCGGAAACCGAGGGAGGAGAAGAGAGGGATTTGATAGCGCCAGGCGAAAGAGATGTCCGGGAAGCCGTGGATGAGGAAGATTGTGCCTTTTTGGGGACCTTGGGGTGGGGTGTCGAGGTAGTCTGTATAAGTCGTGAGAGCAAGTGTCTTTGGGAGATTTTGTTGTTTGGGATCTTACTTACGCCATTTCCTGCCGTTGACTGTTGCGTATTGACTTTGGACTTTTTTGCCGATGTCTGAGGGGCGGATTTTGGGGGCTTTGATATTGCCTGGAGGAGCCATTTTTGCTAGGTCGAGATGGTATGTCACGAGAAGTGTAGAGGATGGTTGTTCTGAAACTCTTATGTATGGTATCGCATGGCAGGGTAGAATGGGGATTTGCTGACTCGGCGAAGCGGTGTTGTATTACAGCCTCGGTTACGGAGCTCTGACATGAGCTAGAAGGCCGCGGTCGACTATATTATTATCGACACTGAGAATGGAGTATACGCAATTATGTGGCAAGTAGATTGTGTTCACGAGAGACAATGAGATTGGAAGGTAGACTCGCGACAGGTGAAAAAGCAGTACTCGGAGACGATCAACAATCTAACCTCAAAAGAGGAAATGTCTTCCAGTGCTGGTACCACCTCCAAAGCTACCTCACGTACTCGAGCACGAAGAAGCACCATGCGAAGACAACAATTTGATGTATTAGTAGATGACATTATCCTCATCTCCCTCAACAACATGATCTTCATCGTCTGCCTCGTCTTTTCCTTCCTCGACTGGAGTCTGTGCCTCTTTCATGACTGCCGTGTCAGCATTATTATTTGTAGCGCCAGCTTCCGAAGGCCTCAATTCAGCGTCATCGGGCAAATTCTGATCAGATTCTGGAATTTCTGCTGATTTGGCAATCTCGTCAGGTTTATTAGTATCATCAGACTTCATCTGATCGTCAGCATCACTTCCTTTCCTTCCATTCTTCTTTTCGATTTCACTAGGCGATTGCTGCCCATTTCCGGTCACCGCAGTCTCCTTCGCGGGCTTGCTATCTGTCGTATGGTCAGTATTAAGCCCGAAGGCAGGGGTGAGTGTTCAAAAGCATACCAGAAGAGCCATCAAGCGCTTCCAAGCGCTCTTCTTTCTCCTTGTCCCATGCATCAAGGTCCTTGTCGATCTCAGCTTTTGCATCTCTGATCTGGTCCTCGATACGATCTTCCTCGTCTGGAAGTAAGTCCCATGGTCGATAGTACTGCAGTCTGTCAGCAAAGCAGCATCTCAAGAAGAGTGAAAGTCTGCGACATACCAGTTTCGGTTCGGTCCTCGTTTGCAAGAAGTTGGCGGTGTTCAGCATTTGCTTGTGGCGTATGCGCATCTGGTTGTCCATCAGCATGTCTGCCTCTACCGACTTATGTGACGGCCAACCTACGTTCTCTTCATCAAGCCTGATCTGTTGTCTCTTTCGCTGGATGGCGAGCTTCTCAACCCGTCTCTGTCGGTCCTCGAGGCGTTCGTCATCCTGCTTCTGGAGCTCAGCCTTTTTTCGTTGCTCAATTTCTCCTCGCCGCTTGGAGACTCTGTCGCTAGGCTGATTGAGATTCCCCAGGAGCGCGCCAAACAGTCGCTTGCTGCGTTGCCTCTCATCTGTGACACCACTCTTTCTGCGCGACTTTCTAGTGTCGTCTGCCTTCTGGGTAGGCTGTTTCTGTGTTGCTGTTTCGACCTTGGTGGACATGGTCTCTTGCTCTTTCTCTGCGGCATTTCCTTCGGTCGGAGTGGCTATTGGTGAGTTCTTACCCGAGCTGCCTGTGCGCCGCCTTTTGCTGTCTTCGGCGCCGTCCTTTGCCTGCTCCTTTCCTGAATGCCGCCTCTTCAAGCCATTAGTTGGGATGTCGCTCGAGTCCTCGGGCAACGCGACCGCCGATGCCATTCTGTGCGATTTTGTCAGTGCATTTGACGTTTGCCACATGTTGAGTCGATTGAACTCACGTTTCGACCATGGCGTCGGAAGCGCGACGGATTCGCGATGCGGTTCCAGGTTGTGAATGCGCAAGGAGCTCTCGCCTCGCCTCGACTCGAGCTTGCAGTGAGGAGTTGAAAGTTGGAGACAATCGGAGTTGATTCAGATTCAAGATTCCGATTCTTGGCACATTTTTAATCACCGGCAGAGCATAAAAGCATAAAATTGTCTTCCAGACATGAAACTGTGTCAAAGAGATGGTCCTGTAGACTCGCAACTCGCAAATGCTGTCCCATGCAAATGGTTTTACAGTGTGCACGAATACATTACCTATTCATTTGTACCTGCTCTTCGTGCCTTCGCCCTATCTCTAAGTGCTTGTTTGCCTGCTTTGCGAGCCTGGTTGAGGCTCCTGGAAGGCGAGAGGCTTCTATACCTTTCAATGGCTTCCTCTGATACCTCGTCAAGGAGGAATGTCCCCAGGTGGCCTGTTCTCCAGCGCTGGACCATCCAGATGGCTGTGCCCTCCAAGTCTGGCTGCGCGCCCTTCATGAGACGACCCGTCTTCCTTGCCATGCCTTCCAGGAGCTGCATCACATCATTCGTGGGCTCTGAGTAGTCCGCATAGACTCGAGCATCGTTCAGATTTACAAGGAACAATAAATAGTCCGCAAGATTTAATGCGGGCACCACTGTATCCTTCACGCTGCCGCAAAGTGCGAGCTTAAGCATGGCATCCGCATCAGGCACGTATGGCATAAACACTCCAGGCGTATCGAGCAGATATACGGCGCCGGAGCCCGTGTCGTCCGGCAGTACAATCTTGACGCCAGTGCCAATCTTACGAGTGATTCCAGGCTGAGCTCCGGTGTGGGCAACTTTTCCCCTGCCAACACCTTCGCGGCGCAGCGCATTCAGCAGAGAAGATTTGCCAACATTGGGCATGCCCACTACCATCAGGTGAGATCCAGTAAGACTCCCACGCGCAGCAGCGATCTCCTTGATGTAGTCCAAAATCCGGCGCACATCTTTTCTGTCCTTGTGGTTGGAGAAGACGACCTTCGATGGATCATGCCATTTGCGTATCATTTGCTCTCTCTACAAAATGCAACTTACATCAGCATTTGTGCTCTCCGCGCATTCGCTTGCCCGCTATGTACCTTCTTGTCTTCCTTGATGACGCTGCTCCCTAGGTCCTTTTTGGTGTAGACAATCATCCGCTCTTTTCCAGCCAGGCTGTCTTCGAACATAGGGTTACGCGAAGTCATTGGAATGCGATAGTCTCTGCATTCGACGATGAGGTCAATCTGGGAGAGCATTGTCCGCATCTTTGCAAGACCCGCGGCATGATGGCCAAGGTAGTATGATCGCGGCAGCGACTCGAGTGTCGGGAACACGCTCCGTGGAACGAACGATGTCATAGTAGATATTCGAAGCCTCTGTCGGGAGACATCTTACACGATCTGCATCGATGAAGTCGTGTGGTGATGGAGATGGTGTCGTGTCTGTGATAGAGTCGTAATCGCTTCCGCAGGGACAAGGAAATCGCGAAGAGTGCACGGTCCCGTCGTTGCTGACATGATCGCGTCACTTCGACGCTCTCCTCACAAAGAACGATCTTGACTCTTGTCTCACATCGCATTCGACTTTTGGCGATGACAGAAAGCCGTCATATCCAAGACGCAATCATGTGTTACTGCATGCTTTGGGTCTCTGGCGGCTGTGAGGATTGGGAATGACAGCAACCTGCCACGTGGGCTCATAGAATCACTTCATTGGCAGCGCAGCTGCCAATCTAGACACCGCGGCCACCGCCCGCGAAAATCCAAGTTGTCCGCCAAGACCGAAATGATTGGCTAAGAAATTTCGCAGAAGTAATATGCAATCAAAGATTGAAGGGAAATTTGACTTACCCCGGATTTTAGCGTAGAACGTCAATCGAAACAAATATTAAAGGGAAATTTAACTTACCCCGGATTTTAGCATAGAACGTAAATCGAAAGCGCTTAACGAATCCCGGATATAAGCGTAATACGCTAATAAAAATTTAGTAGGAGCTTAACGTATACTAAAGACCTAGATATAGCTATATCCTACTAAATATAAAGCCTATCGACTAGTATAAAGGTCCCCGTAGCGAAAATATTAGTAAGATTACTAATAGTACTATTAATTTTAATAAAGCTATTAGTAGAGCTACTAGTAACTTTAGACTATTAGACTATTAGTAGGACTAGGTATTAAGAAAACTATTAACAAACCTATTAATTAAACTATTAGGTAAACTATTAGATAGACTATTAGATAAACTCTTAGCTAAACTATTAGTAAACCTAATAATAGAACTAATAATAAAACTAATAATAAAACTAATAACTCAAATAGTACTAATAGTAAAACTATTAGTAAAACTAATAACTCAAATAGTACTAATAGTAAAACTATTAGTAAAACTACTAATAGGACTATTAATAAAACTACTAATAAAACTGTTAACAGAACTACTAATAAAACTACTAGTAAAACTACCAAGACTACGAGCTAGCCTACGAATAGGACTACTAATTAAAGTACTAAGACCACTAACTAAACTAGAAACAAAACTATTAACAAAACTACTAATAAAACTATTAATAAAACTACTAATAAAACTATTAAAGAAACTACTAATAAAATACTAATTAAAATTTTCGTTAAACTGAAACTAGTAATCGAACTACTAATTAAACTATTAATTAAATAGTTAATTAAGCTATTTATATAATTACTAATAAAACGACTAATTAAACTACTAGTTAAGCTACTAGTTAAACTACTTCTTAAACTACTAACGAAATTTTAAATTAAACCGTTACTAGTAATTAAAATACTAATCGAACTGCTAGCTAAACTACTAATTAAACTGCTAATCGATCTACTAATCGACCTACTAATCGACCTACTAATCGACCTATCTCTATTTAGAAGTTAGTAATTTAGTACTATATACTTTAAATTATATAATTTATCGGGGGACTAGCTACTAGTAAAATACTAATTAAAATTTCTATTAAACTAAAACTACTAATTAAACTACTAATTAAACTATTGATTAAACTACTAATTAAACTACTAATTAAACGGTTAGTTAAACTATTAATTAGACTATTAATTAAACTACTAATTAAACTATTAATCAAGCTATTAATTAAACTATTAATCAAACTATTAATCAAACTATTAATTAAACTATTAATTAAACTATTAATTAAACTACTAATTAAACTATTAATCAAGCTATTAATTAAACTATTAATCAAACTATTAATCAAACTATTAATCAAACTATTAATCAAACTATTTATTAAACTATTAATCAAACTATTAATTAAACTATTCATTAAACTATTAATTAAACTATTAATTAAACTATTAATCGAACTATTAGTCGAACCGTTAATCGACCTCTACTAATCGAACTATCTCTATTTCGAAGTTAGTAATTTTAATTAGTATTCTATACTTTAAACTATATAATTTATCGGAGGACGAGTAATAGAAATAACTAGTATAATAGCTAAATCTATAATAGCTAGATAGTATAGCTTAAAGCTATTAATCTCTAAGAATTATACTACTAGACTTACTAGCTAGAGGATAGCTACTAGTAATTAGGGGTTATATATAATATATCTAGGCCTCTACTAAGGTAGTATATCTATTCTTTTAGTATATATTCTATATATAGCCTAAATAATTAAGTTTTATTTATATATTTTAAGCTAAGTTTAATAACTTTTACTACTAGTAAATTTACTACTAAAGTTAGAAGTCTAAATCGCTATTTTAGTATATAGCTAAAGTTCTATTCTCTCTTACTATAGTGACTAGCTAAGTAGTACTTAGTATTTGCTATAGATATATTTAATTTTCTAACTAAATATTTAAAGCCTACTAATTAAGAGTCTAAGGGAATTAATAGCGCGCGTCTAGACTAGTAGCGAACTACTACTTAGATACTAGTACTTATATTAAGCCCTACTAAACTATATACTATAGCTAGAACAAACTACTATATAACTTAGAAAAGCATAACTATAATTTAGAATTGTAAGATTAGTAAATTTTCCTTTATAAACTAGGGTATAGATATATATAGAAACTAAAATTATAATATTCTCTAAAACTAGTATCGTATTCCTAGAACCTTATAAATAGCTATATTATATATAATATAAAGATACCTAGGCCTATAGTTATAGAGTCTAAGAGCCTTTAGCTATTGAAGTTTACTAGCCTCGGTAGTTGAGATATATATACGATTAGTAATCAAAACAAATACATTGCAAGCTGCCAGTCTTGGAACGCGATAGTGGTCCACAACACTTCCTAGTACTTGGATACGACATTAGCTCGGCAGCTTGCAGGTTTTGGATATGGCTCATTATGTCTCGGTGTCGCAGGCCTCGACTCTGGATGAAGGCAACCACGATGGTTCCTCGCCAGCACACCAGGATCCGACTGCCCTCGAGGATGGGCCCCAGCCATTGGATCTGAGCTCTTGGCCACCGATCTACATATCGCCCACTCATTTCGACACAGAAGACTTGCATGAACTGGAAGAAGCTCTGGACGCGGCACATGCAGTCCATACATATGATATTGGAGAGGCAGAGATCGTACTTAGTAAAGCTACCAAAAAACCACGAATCCGCCTCGACCTCAAAGCCAAAGGATTGCATACCACAGAATGGCAGTGTGAGATCAGTGCATCTGCAAGGACTGTTATATCTGAAGATACCGAGGCGCTATCGAGGAAGAGAAAGCGTGATGAGCTAAACGCTAGCCTTGCGCGAGAGCAGGTATTACCACCAGGCCGAATTGTAAAAGTTGTCAGCATAGAATGGGTTACGGACTCTCAAGAAAGCGGTCATGTCCTGCCTCTTGACCAATACATGACGTATATGGGTCTTTTGCAAGCAGTTGATGAAGCTACAACAGCGACGTTGAAGCACAATCCACCTATTCAAAAGGCCGCCAAGCTCACCGCTACTTTGCAACATGCTCCCGCAGGTGAACCATCCAATCCACCCGATGGTAGCGAGATCCTCCAGCGAGCCCAAGATGATGCTTCACATGCAAAGCCGAAGTATAGTCGTTTTGGTAAACGCCAGTATCACCACCCGCACCAGGTCACTCCGTCTGCCAATCCATCGAGCTGGGAAGCCGGACACGGGACAAGTGCCAAGTACGCTCATCTGCTGCAGCAAACAACTACAGAATATGAAGGGTCGTCCAGCGATACGCCTGAGATGCCGAAGTGGGTCAAGTCACGCGTTAAGTACGCGTGTCAAAGACTGACGCCAATGACGAATCCAAATGACGATTTCATCGCTCTACTGAAAGAGATCAAGCAAGCACGACTCCTCACGAATGATGAGATAGGCGTGAGAGCATACAGTACTTCCATTGCTGCCATTGCTGCTTACACTCACAAGTTCAGCACTGCGAAGGAGATCTTAGCGTTGCCAGGATGCGATAGCAAAATCGCAAATCTTTGGGTCGAATGGAAGAACACAGGCACAATCAAAGCGGTTGAGGATGCTCGGAACGACGAGGATCTCAAGGTCCTTCGGCTGTTCTACAACATCTGGGGCGTCGGTGTTGCCACCGCTCGTGATTTCTATTTTGACCGCGGTTGGAGAGAGCTGGACGACATTGTTGAGTACGGGTGGTCGACTCTGGTTCGTGTGCAGCAAATTGGAGTTAAATACTACGATGAATTTCAAGACCTCATACCTCGTGCAGAGGTTGAACAGATATGCGAAGTGATTCGCAAACATGCAGTCAAGGTTCGCGATGATGGCATCCAGACCGTTATCGTTGGTGGCTATCGCAGAGGGAAAGAGGCTAGTGGAGATGTCGACATCGTGGTCACTCATCCCAACGAGAGCTGCACGCTGAATCTGGTGAATGACGTTGTAGGCAGCCTCGAGGAAGAAGAGTGGATCACCCATACCTTGACTGTATCTAATGCCAGCTCCGAGAGAGATCAGCAGACGCTTCCGTTTCGCGCTGGAGGCGGCGGGCATGGGTTTGACACACTGGACAAGGCTCTCGTTGTATGGCAAAATCCAGTTTGGCCTTCAAAAGCTCAGGATCTGGCCGAGAATGCACAGGCAAAGAATCCCAACATCCACAGACGGGTCGACATCATCATTTCTCCGTGGCGAACCGTGGGTTGTGCTGTAGTAGGCTGGAGTGGCGGGACAACATTCGAGAGGGACTTGAGGCGCTATGCGAAAAATGTCAAAGGCTGGAAGTTCGACAGCTCTGGAGTTCGCAATCGAGGTAACGGCGAAGTTGTTGACCTTGAGGGCTATTTCAGCTGGGAAGGTAAGGAGGGCAAGGAAGGTCGTGCAAAGACCATCGAGGAAGCGGAGCGGAGAGTGTTTGAAGGGCTCGGTCTCAGGTATAGAGAGCCTTGGGAGCGGTGCACTGGGTGAGCGAAAGTATATTTAGCAGCCACGTTATGATAAATACCTGAGTCGAGAGACTTGCCGCACATGCATGCACCATATCCATCACGCGGGATGATATCAGATGATCGTGCAGCAAACACAGTCATCATCAAATAAGGTTGCAATGCATGTTTCGCCCTATCAGACCGCCATATCAGCATTATTGTATCTTGCCGAAGCTGGTATATGGACAAGAGCTGTCTTTGGAGGGGCCGAAGTTGCATGAGCCATGATGATTCCTTGTTCGGCCGTTCGCACACCTTGCTTTCGTGCGAACTACCTCGTCACTGTCGTCAGGCTACTGCTCAACACTACGGTTGGCCGCTGTCCGGCCGGGTATTTGCGCAGCTGTACAGCGTCTTCGCGCATCGGAGGGCTATTACTTTTACGCTTAACAGCGAAGCCGAGTTTTCAATTGGCCCAAACCCTTGCTAGCCCAGAATGGGGGAAAATTGATAGCCTTCCGATGCGCGAAGACGCTGTATTTAGCCCGTACCCTGCCATGCCATGCCATGCCTGCCACGACTTCGACTTTTCCCTTTTCGAGACGGCGCCTCTGAACGGCTGGCCTGTTCTTTAGAGAAAAAAACATAGTTTCGGGACCCTGAGACGTGAGATCTCGTTTCACCACGTTGCACGTTGTCAAGCGGCTTGGCCGGAAGTTGAGCTTGTCGAGTCCACTTGGATTTCGCTGGACTGGACGTCACCGATCACTAGCATTCGGGGGAAGACGTTGATCGTTCTGCAGAACAGGCAGTCCCTCGAGGAAGAACCGGGAACGAGGTGCGCTCTTGCATGGCATGGTCATGGTCACACGGCGTACCTCTTCATGCAGAATGCATCCCGTCCTGCAGGTCCTTTTTCTTCCGAACCTGCCCACCTTGTATTGTTGCACTCATCCCACGAAACTTTTATGATTACAGTACCCGTGGCACGGGCACGGCAAGCCACGAAGGCAAAGGCAAACGTACGTCGTAGGGGAAATCCATCCAGCCGAGACCGGGGCCGGCTTGCGGTGCCTATTGTGGTGGTGCATGATGATGATTTCTCTGCAGCTGATCAAGCGCATCTCTTGACTACTTGATCCTGCGTGCGTGGCTACGATTTGCTGCACAGCGACAGCGACTGCGAAACGGTGGCCAATCGACACGCGGGTGCGCCTGCTGCACTGCCTGTTCTCGCCTTTTCTTGTCGCCTGCTGCGCACCGCCGTCACCACAGCGCTGCTGGCTGCTGGCTGCGCAGGGCCGCTGCCTCCTTCAGGTCCACTCACACCAGGCAAGGGGGACGATCCAGTTGGCACCCGATCTCCACCGTCATAATATATCCATCGCTTAGCAGCAGCATCGCTACAGAAGCATGCATGCCTCCCCTCCGCCGTCGCCATCTTATCTGATCGCTCTGATCCGCATCTGATAAGCTTAACCTTCTGCATCTGGCGACATCCCTATATTCAATGTGACTACCATGACCACGGCCTACGGAACGCTTCACACCGTGGAGGACACTGATGCTGCTCGTTCAGACGTTGAGAGAGCCGCCGGCCCGGGAGACTCGCCCGCCTTCTCCGCGAAACGCGAACAGGGTGGCGCCAGCGCCAGCGAAATCACACCGTTGACCGACACTGACGCGCGCTCAGTCATGTCTGAACGCAGCCATGAGTCGGCACAAGCTGGAGTCAAGAGACTCGAGGCTATCTCGTCGACATGGTCCAGATTCGCTCTCTACGCCGCATACTTGGGCGTCGCCATGCTGGCATACGCGACGTCATTGGAGGGACAAACGACCACCAACCTTACCATCTTTGCGACATCTGCATTCAAGTCACACTCCATGGTATCGACAGTCCTGGTGATACAAGGTGTCGTTCTATCCGTTGTTAAACCGCCCATGTCCAAAGTTGCCGATGTCTTTGGTCGATTCGAAGCATTTGGTCTCTCAGTGCTATTCTACGTGATCGGTTTCATCCAACAGGCCGCCTCTACCAGCGTCAATACCTATGCAGCGGCGCAAATTTTCTACTCTGCTGGAGCTACTGGACTTCAAATCCTCATTCAGATCTTCATCGCTGATACGAGCGATTTGGTGAACCGAGCTCTCTGCTCCACCATCCCGGACATCCCTTTCCTGGTCAATGTGTGGCTTGGCCCGGCTTTGGCTGAGACGATACTGAAGAACTTAAACTGGAGATGGGGCTATGGTATTTGGGCTGTCGTGCTGCCTGTTGCTTTCTTACCCTTGGCGCTGGCGCTTGTCATCAACCAGCGCAAAGCTGCGATGCGTGGTATCTTGCCCGCTTCGCCGTTTGTCGGTGAATCATGGTGGGAGGTCATCAAAACTCTCTGGTTCGAATTGGACCTTCTTGGACTTGTTCTCATCTGCGTGTCGTTCACGCTCATCTTGATTCCATTGACAATAGCCGCCAAAGCTGGCTGGAACAACCCCAACCTGATCTCCATGGTTGTGGTCGGTGCTGCTTGTCTGATTGCGATTCCATTCTGGGAGAGAAACAAGACCCTGGCTCCTCATGCATTCTTCCCTAGAGCCTTCTGGAGGAATAAAACCATCCTATGCGGCCTTGCTCTTTCTTTCTTCTATTTCAGTAAGTGCTTCTTCCAACTCCGACCTACTCAGAGGCTGTATGCTGATGTCTTCCCAGTGGCCTTTTACCTCTCCGTATACCCATATTTTCAGTCATATCTCCTGGTGGTCCAGGACCTCCCACTCACCAAAGCCGGCCGCATCGTGCAGACATTCACCTTCACTTCGACAATCACTTCGATTGTTGTTTCTTTTGCCATCAAGTATACCAAGGTGTACAAGAAATTCATGGTCCTGGGCACAATGCTTTATGTGCTCGGCCTTGGCCTGATGATTCATTACCGGACCGAAGACTCGTCACCAGCGACGATTGTCGGCACGCAGATCTTCCTAGGCGTAGGTGGTAGTCTCACCCATGTACCTGCGCAACTTGGCGTGCAGGCCTCAGCCAGTCATTCGGAGGTTGCTGCAGCCACGGCGCTGTTCCTGACGTTCTTGGAAATTGGTGGTGCTGTCGGTAGTGGCATCTCGGGCGCAATTTGGACGTCTAGCGTTCCAAAGAAGCTGGCGCTCTACTTGCCACCCGAAACGCAGGACCAGGCTGCCGAGATCTTCGGCAACATCACACTTGCATCCCGCGGTTGGCCGATGGGAAGTCCAACACGCAATGCAATCAATCTTGCTTATCAAGAGACGATGACCAGGATTCTGAAGGTTGCGGTGTTCGCGGCGATTCCGTGCATTGTGCTGGCACTGTTGATGAATGACTACAAGCTGGACGAGATAGATCAAGGGGTGAAAGGAGTTGTGATTGGAGCAACCCAGTTCCCAGCGGATCACGGCGACGATCCACACGCCGGTCCATCGAGCACGAGACTGCTGGACCACAACGGCGAGCCTGATGAAGACGATGACGAGTCGGAGGAATCGCACAATTCGCGGACACAACTGATTCGGAAATCATCATGAAATGAAATGGACAATTTGCATTTTGTTGGGATCTAGAGCTTGGCATGAGCGATGAGGGACAGGATAGCATTGGCCGCACGGAGCAGGTTGCATGTTGCATATGTATTGCATGGGAAAGCGTTTTGAGCATGATGGCGTTTTGGAAGCATGCGGGCGTTGCCTCGTGCGGACGGCGGCACAGCATGATTATTAGATGATGGGCGGCACATGGTTCTAGATAGCCTCCTGATATTCTTTTCAAACACTGAGTTGTGTCCCTTTGTTTCAGATGCTTGGTGGCACCTCTGCTGGACCTGACAGCAGGCTCGCATCCCTGCGTGCAGGCGGCGAACACGGCCGAGCAAGCAAGCGCCGGTGCTGATGCTGATGCTGCGTGAAACTCCCTGCAATTGCTCAGTTTGTTATTATTACTGCCCAACATCTGACGTTTTGTGCGTGCAAGACTCACAACCACAATCGCATGCCCGAGCAGCGCACCACAACAATATCGCCGTGGCATTGTTCCAGCATCGACACTTTGTCGGCTCCCGTGAGCCCGCTGGCCGACGCTGGGAAAGTGCCGAAGGCCATTGCATCTCACCGTCCAAGGTCGCCCGTTCGTTCCCGTGTCCGTGCCGCTGGAGTGTGAATGTGACAGCTCCACTTCACTTCCTACCATCCAGGAACCCTCGATTTGCGCGCGCCGGCACGTGAAAAAAAGGCTTCGGAAAACTGCACGCCACAACCGTCTGGTCCAACGTTGCACCGCGCGCTCCATTGACACGCACAATACCACCCACAGCACCACCGACCACGACACGTACACACGCCTGCTAAGCCTCGCCCTCGCCCTCGCCCTCGCCCTCGCCCTGCTGCGCTGAGAGCTGCGTTGGCAAAAGACACATTCCTTGCAAACCGAGATCAACGCGCGCCACCTCGCCAACAATCTGAGAATCGGCTGCAGGAGTCTGAGCTGCTATTGGCGCAGGAGTGAGCTTCGTGATACAGGTACAGAGCGGCGCGGCGGACACGTGAAGGAGACACTGTGAGAGACCTCTGCGGCGAGCGTGAAGACCGCCCAGCATGGTGGTCGCGACGATAAAGTATGCTTCCTTTCCTTATATCGCTCCTTCCCTTGGCAGCTGGGTGATATGCGGGCGTTCAGGAGGTGTTTCAAGGGCGGGAAAGACGGAAACAATGAGAGTCAACCGGACGACCAGACGCTACCACTGCCTGCAATTGCGCGGCATCAACACGGGCGCGAATACCTCAAGTAGTGGCGCACATCTTTTGAGAGACAATGGCTGACGAGGCTCCCTCCAGATGCGTGGTTGTGGGTGACGGTGCCGTGGGCAAAACGTGCCTGCTCATAAGTTATACCACCAACAAGTTTCCGTCGGAATATGTACCGACAGTATTCGACAATTATGCAGTAACGGTGATGTACGCAAGGCATAAGCTGCAATGCGGCTTGATCAATTGACATTGTCCAGGATTGGCGATGAACCGTACACTCTTGGACTTTTCGATACCGCTGGACAAGAAGATTACGACCGTCTACGACCGCTATCATACCCCCAAACCGACGTGTTCCTCGTTTGCTTTTCAGTCACATCGCCTGCGTCCTTCGAGAACGTCAGAGAAAAGTGGTTTCCAGAAGTACACCACCACTGTCCTGGCGTGCCATGCCTGATTGTGGGCACACAGACGGATTTGAGAGATGACCCACAAGTGCGAGAAAAGCTCGCAAAGCAAAAGATGCAGCCTGTCAGGAAGGAAGATGGCGAGAAGATGGCTAAGGAACTCGGTGCCGTTAAGTACGTCGAGTGCTCGGCGTTGACGCAGTTCAAGCTCAAGGATGTTTTCGATGAGGCCATCGTGGCTGCTTTGGAGCCTCCAGCAGTGAAAAAGCAGAAGCGTGAGGTGTCCGCAAACAGATATTTCAGATTCATGACTAATTCCGACACAGGAAAGGGCAAGGGCTGCACGATACTGTAGGCGATGACGAAGAAGCCTCGCAGATGGAAGACGACACGGCTACTACGAGAGCGAAACGGCCAGCAATGCGATGCGGTGCGGTGCGAGGTGCCCCCAGATAGACACCATTCTTCCGGATCATACCAGTTGGGCGCGCGGCGTTTTAAAGATGGAGCGAATTCTCAGGACTACTGCTACACAAGGCACTCATACCAGGTTTTCCCGTACAGCCTTGATTTGTTTTGTTGTTGCATTCTCTTCAAAGCCCGCTTTAGCTTTTTTGTTGCATTTGAATCGTAAAGTGTTGACTGGAAGCTTCATTTTTCTTTGGTTTCCTTGATGGGTTGCTGCTAACATCTAGTGGTGATGAGAGGATGAGGAGATCGAGAAATCTTTGAGGGGGTTTTCGCGGCCCTTTTCGAATGGCCACAAATGAGATGTCCATGGTCAGACCGATTCGAGCAGCGTAGTCGAAAGCTTTGGTGGTTCACAAGTGAGTCTGAGGCTCACCCACTCCCACGAGGCATATATTGACCGCTCATAGTTGATTTTTGAGCGTGCGATGTCGAGGTTTACGGAATGTGAGTCTTCCAGCTGCCTGCTGTACCTTTGATTAATGACTAGCTCACACATTTACTCAAGTGCAGATATCGTCGTTGACGTTGGATATCTGCGATAACAAATTCAATGACTCGGTCATCGATGCCAAGACCTCGTGCTTCTAAACGTCGCGGGAGCTTTCAGGCTAACAACGCCAAGTCGGGTTTCTCTGGACCTACCATTGCCAATTGACTGTATGTGAGCGCTTCAGGCGAATAATCACTCTCTATCTGCTTTGCGGGAATCTTTCGAGTGGCGACTGGACTGCCTTCTTGTCAAGAGCGCGCTTCACTGCTTGGTCCGTACAGGTCATTTGGAGAAGCATCCTATTGTAAGATGAACAAAAACGACGATAGCTACTTAACAGAGAGTCAATCTGGCGAGCCGCTGTTTACAATCGACACAGTCCCTCTCCCACATCTTGCGGCAACGCTGAGTGAATGGTCGAGCTGCTGCTGCTACGGTCTCTCAACGGCTCTGCATGAGATGCTGTGCCTTCCGCATTGGGCCCAACGCTCAACTTCACATGGGCGTTATATCGCTTTCTCGCTTCCTTTGAATTCTTCCCCTCTTCCTCCCCAGCTGACCATCAATAGTAAGTTCCGGGCACTCCTGGCCATTGTTCGACACATGTTCACCAGCAGCATTCACTGACCGTTCGCTAGGGAACCGCCGAGCCGACCGCCTCCTCTGCGCCGTTTTGTTTTTGTTTTTGTTTGGGTGAAGTTCGGCTGTCGCTAACATGAGTGACAGGCTCTCCCGCTCCCCTTCCGCTCGCTCGAAGCGCAAGACGAGCACCAAGCACCGGCCCTCCCTTTCGGCAGTACCTGAGGACATGGGCGACACGAGGGCCGACGAGGCCGATGCCCTCCTCTCGCTGCAAAGTCGGCAGCCAGGCCGCAATGCGTTTTCGGAGGAGGCCCTCCGCCACAACAGGTACATGCTGGCGACGAACGCGTTTGTTCAGCAGGAATTCTCGCGGAGGGAAAATACTCCGCCAAGCATCGTCCACCCTGCGCTTCGTCACAACTTCAACCTCCTCGACACCGCACAACCACTGCCAACACTCGATCCAGAGGAAGTCGCGCGCCATATGGCAACACTTCCACGCGACTCAGATGTCACCACAATGAGCCCATTTCTTGCCGCTGGCCAGGAAGAGTCGCCTGTCCTCGACTTGGGCACCACGCCAGAAAACACGCCGCAACCCACACAGCGTGCATTCATAGAAGATCGCCGCGAGTCGCACGATCACAAGCAACTAGGCCGGGAAGAACAGCGCGTACCTGTATACACGCACACCCCCAAGCCCGCTGCAGAAGAGTTTGCCACACCTCAGACCACCTCCACCAGGAAGACTGATGAGATCAAGGCGCAGCAGCAGACGCCAGCGACCAAGAGTCCTAAGAAAGGCTTTTTCAGCCGGCTCGGATGGAGCGCTCGCAGCAAAGCTGTCACTCCGCAGCCGATAGCAGATGGAGTTGTGGAGTCACCTGATGGAACTCAAATGAGCGTCAAGGCACGCGCTATGCTCGTCGACCCACCACCAATTCGAGGCCTCATTCGCTCACCATCAAAGCCGAAAGGCCTCTTCTCCCGCCGCACTTCGGATGCTGCTGACATCACATCGGCGACAAAGCGATCAGACCCGCCTCGCGCTGCAACATCTCTCGGGCATCGAACACCCCAGAACATCACATGGCAATTACCGCGATCGACATCAAAGAAGAAGCTTGATGCCGCCCGAAAAGCGAACGACGAGCGCACACAGCGTAATACACAGGCCAACACCGCCCTCGGCCGTTCTCACAGTCTAAAGCACCAAGATGACGGGAAGGCTCCGCCCACGCCACCAGCAAAAGACACGCCGCCAGAGGTGCTTGCACAGAGAAGGCTGGCTCAACAGTCTCAGCTTGCTCAAAGCATCAGCAATGATACGCCTACGAGAACACCACAGGTTGTTACTCCAAGCATCTCGATCACTCCCACCTCCAGGCAGGCTAGCTTCGGCAATCGCGGTCAAGGCACTCTGGTCACTCAAGCAAGCATGTACTCCATGCGGGCGTCTGTGGTTGCGGACGCCATGGATCCATCTGCATTTAATGACGCCAAGTCACGAATTAACGCACTTGGCATCGAAGGCTTCAGTATGCCAAATGAATGCAATCAGCGCCGAAGCGTCATCGAATACTCTCCCAGCGCTTACTCGCCAGACACTAACCGCAACTCTGTGCTTCACTTTCCTGGGCGTGCCGGTAGTCGCATGGAGAAGAAGCTTCAGCTCCAGACCTCAATGAACACTCTTCGTGAACCAGCCCACAACGCCCAGGACAGCCTCTCTACTACAGGAACCATCCCTGTATTCTATCCTGAACTGGCCAAAGACCCTTCCATTGCCTCCTTCATGGAGTATGATTCGAGCATATTGATGCCACCGGAAGTTCCTGACTCCGAGTCCCCTTCGCCGCAACCTGGTGAGTTCGACCGAGCCTATATCGATGTACAAAATATGGTCAAAGACGAAACCGTGGAGAGCCCAGTCAGCGCTCACTCGGAAGCATCGACTGAAGGCTTGTTTGCAATCCCACTCAAACGCACGCCGCAGCGACCAGAGCAGTCCCCAATGACCAACCATCCCAGCGCAATGCCATCACCGCTGCGAAATAGCTCAGGCGAAGCATATCTTCCCTCTTCGACCTTCCAGCCACCAGTACCTTGGCCGAAGCGAGACGCCAAGACTCCTCAGAGACTACGCTTACAGAAAGTGTCGGAAGAGCAGAAGATCTCCGATAGTCTACCCTCCCCAGACGAACTTCCATGGACTCCCGGTGGTCGACCAAAGCCGAAACCCAGCATCTTCGACAACAGACCAAACCTAACCCGACCCAAAGACCTCGTCATTCGACAATCCCCACCAATGGGCAGAGCCAAATGGCTAGTGAAACCCAACGACAACATCGATCCCGAAAAATCTCCTCGTGCGCACTCCTCCCCATCTCCTCGCGCTCCCAGCTCGCTGCAAAAAAGCCGATCAAAGGATAGCGATCAATTTCAAGAACTCTCCGACCGAGTTCTCAGCATGGCGCAAGATTACGAAAGTAAAATCGAAGAGCTGAATGATTCGGCTCGAGCGGAGAATGCTCGACTTCATCAGCGTTTGGCTTCTATCGAAATCGCCACTGCGATTCCGAAACCTGAAATCTGCTTTGGTGGTGGTGGTGATGATGACGACACTCAAGTCCCTGGTAGTGGCAGTAGACGGACCAGCGCGGAAAAGAAACGTCATGTCAGCGCCTCGGAGAAGAAGAAGAAGAAGAAGTCCAAGATGGCTCCTGAGAAACGTGTCTCGACGGGCATCGCTCAGGACTTTTATCGTGCCGCTTCCAAAGGTCAGTCGCACTCGCCTGTGGATAGTATCGCGACCACCGAAAAGTCTACTATCATCCTCACGCCCAATCTTCCAAGGCCGGATTCTCAGACTGTGTTGCTGCCTCAGCCTGCGGCTTCTTCTTCTTCGCCTGCTCCGCCTAGTGTTGGGAGTGATACGGGAGTTGATAGGCTTTTTGCTATTGTGGAGCGCCAGCAGCAGATGATGATGGATATGATGCAGGAGATTCGGGATTTGAAGCGTCAGGGTGGTGGTGGTGGTGGGGGTGGGGCTACGTCTTGAGGTTGTGCAGTGGTTGAAGAGATGAGACGTAGGGTTGGGGAGATTGGGATGTGAGGAGCTTGTCGTTGGTATGGATGGTTTGCTGCGCTATCGAAGAGAAGAGATTGGAGCATTTGATTGGAGCGATTGCATTGGAGAAAGAGAAAGATGACCAGTGGCTTGGGATATGAGTGTGATTGCATTCTAGGTGTGCTCTGGGGCTATCCTAATTGCTGCATAGACGCACTGTGGCGTTTTTGCAGCTCGTCGTTGGTACACGTATGTTGTGCTGCGCTATCCTAGAGCAGTCGAGCGTTTTTTTTTGTAGCATTTGTTCTTGGAGTCATGGCCATAGAGCAAGATCCCCCAAGACTCGTCCGCATTCTGAGTCCGTTTTGAGCCTTCCAGGAGCCTTGTAATACTCATTGTACTTCTACCATCCAGCCTCTAGCCACTCATCACTCTCACCGCTGCCTCCCTCATCCAATTGAAGGAGATTCAGCTCAATGTGGTGGTCATTAGTAAATCCAAGCTGAAGTTAATGTTAGCACTTGAAGCCGCAGTGGAGATTGTAGTCTCACTTACCATGCCTGCCGTCTTCTCAAGATCGACCAACTCCACCTCATGAGCCAGATCCAGTCCATCATCTTCGATACCTCTCCGCTCCTTCCAGGCTTGCAGGACGTCAGCAAATGTGGTTTCATCGCTCATAGTGAAGAAGACTGGACGTGTGCCGTAGATAGTGTCGTGGATGGTGCCAGAGAGGCGATCTGGATGGGCGTTGTTGGCTTCCCGTTTGAGAATTTGCGAGTCACGTTCTTTTCCAGTTGGGAACTTGTTTGAAGGAAGGCTGGTGGCGATGCTCTCGAGAGTTGCCTTGGACAATTTGTTGGGTGGAGAGTCGAAATTTTCTGTGGCAGAGATGTTGCGAGCAGCCTTAGGCGTGAAGGATGTGCTTCGTGGCGTATGCTCCTCCACGAACCGCTTGAATGCTGCTGTCTCAGCGGTGTCGTCTTCTCCAATAGCGCCCAAGACAGTACTACCTGGATCGATCTGCTCGTTCTCAAGCGTGTAGAGTCGTCGACCAAGTTCTGCATTCTTGCGCTTCTCCTCAGCCAACTGTCGGCGAAGCTCCTTCACTTCCTCGTCTTGGCGTTGAATTGGCGAGTACTGTCTGGTCCCCCACGATGGCTCGGGCGAAGAGTCGGTCGTTGCACTCGGTGTCAGGAGGGACTCAGAGCTGGAGTCGGAGTGTTCGGACTTCATGCTGTTGTCCCAATTGTTGGAAGGTTCAGACTTCATGCTGGCGTCCCAACCGTCGAAATGTTCAGACTCCATGCTGGCGCCCCAGCTGTCCATTTCCCAGCTGGAAGCGTTTGCCCATCCAGAATGCTCTCCCCACCCAGACCTGTCCTTGTGCGCCTCTGCTCGCGAGTGCTTCACTTTGCCACCCCAACCGTCCGACTGATCCCTACCGTCAAAGTGATCTGAGACAGCCAAGTCGCCGGACTCGTCTCGCCATCCAGAATGCCCTCCCCAGTCAGACCAGCCCTTGTGCGCCTCTGCTCGCGAGTGCTTCGGTTCGCCGCCCCAGTCATTCGACTGATCCCTACCGTCAAAGTGATCTGAGAAAGCCGAGGCGCCGGGCTCCTCTCCCCAGTCAGACCAGCCCTTGTGCGCCTCCGCTCGCGAGTGCTTCGATTCGCCACCCCAGCCATCCGACTGATCCCTACCGTCAAAGTGATCTGAGACAGCCAAGTCGCCAGAATCCGATTCGTCACACTCTCTAACACCAGTTGAAGCAGCATCCCAGCCCGAGTCGTTCCATCCGTCATGCGAGTCTGGAGCTTCGCCCCAGCTGGTACCGCGAGAAGCGTTTGCGAGGTATGCAAGCCAATCCGACATCGCGTGACCATACTCTCTCTGTGCGCGTAGCCTGCTGATTGCAGGTTCGCCCCATTGACGTCCAGCAGAGTCGCCGGATTCTCTTACAGGTTCGCCCCAACGACGTTCAACAGAGTCATCGCCCCATCGACGTTGCTCGCCCCATCGACGTCCAGCGGAGTCGCCGGATCCTCTTACAGGTTCGCCCCATCGACCTCCAACGTAGTTATCGCCCCATCCCGTCACCTTCTGCAGAGGTTCGCCCCATCGGCGTTGGCGTCGCTCGACCCATTCATACATGTTTGAAGCCGCCCCGTCAGGTCGCGCGCGAGCAACAGTTGTGTATCGAGGTGTGTCGGCGACGTTGAGTCTCGGTGGCATGTGTGACGGGGGTTTGAAGACGAAGTGGAAAAGAAGTTCCGAAAACAAACATTTTTGATTGGCTGGAAATTTCGACCTACTGTTGCCTAAAAGCTTGGACCATGTGCCGCTGCTGCATGTGAGATTTCAGAAGTGAAAGTAAAGTTCACCATGAAATGAACTGGTCGCGCTCTACAGAAGGAGAGGTTTGGAGGGCATACTGTGGCTCTTCGTTAGTGAGAGTCCAGATGCTGGCTGATCAGATGGGAGGAGGATGGCGTTACTTACAAACGCTCGACGCGTTGGTTCGTTCCGAGGTGTGATGAATCATGAATAAAGTGTTTCGCAGGGTACTGTAACATCATGATGGGATCCAGCAATGCACCTTCCCCTCCCTATTCTAGCCAATGCGAGATCCATTCTCTCCAATTCTCACCTAATCTATCATCACCCCCAAACCAAACCCTCAACCCGCTTGATAGAAGATGAAGTCAAGATAGAGCCCAGACAACCATCAAGGTGTTGATGTGATAATAGTCCATACCCGCATCTGATTGGCCGTGGTGAGCGGCACGCTAACGGCAGGATATCAACTTTTAAGCAGTTCTTCATCCCCTTTCTCTTCGAAATTTTCTGTTCCAAACTAACTAATACGAGCATGACTTTTGTATGCATGAAGTAGGAACGTGCCGACTTTCCACACGCCCGATGGATTTCGGAACCTTCCTACGCCGCGTGCCCGCACCAGCTGCAGGAGCTCTAGGCCGATTGATTATTGTAATGCCGCATCCAGCGCCTTCTGGTCTGGGTCTGTCTATGAGGGGTAAGGTAAGGTAGCAACGGCAGTGGGTACAAAGGATTCTGCGCGTTCGCACCACACGACTACAGACATACATATTAGTCCTCATCCTCTCATCGTTCGTGTTCGTTCTTAGTCTATCCCAAGAACTTCCGACTTTTCTCGAACCAACAAGCATACATACAGTACTTGCTCATCACATCACAAGACAATCATGGCCAAAGGATCCTGCATGTGTGGCGCCATCGGCTACGAATACACGGGCGAGCCGGCGGTCACTGCGTTATGCCATTGTACCGATTGCCAGAAGTGGACGGGAGCAGCATACACGAGCAATGTCGTGGTGCCTCGGACGAATTTCAAGGTCACCCAAGGACAGCCGAAAGACTATGATGCGGTGGGAGCTTCGGGGAAGATAAATAAGCATTGGGTGAGTGTGTCTTTTTGCTGTGCCCTGTTTGTTGTTGTTGTTAATCTCTGGAGTTTCAGTTCTGTCCGACGTGTGGATCTTCGCTTTATACTGAGCTTGAGGTGATGCCTGAGATGACTTGTGTTAAGAGTGGGAGTTTGGATGGTGGGGCTGCGGATCATAAGGTGAGGAATATACCTCTTCTTCGGGACTTCTTGGATAGCCCAGCTAATGATTCTGTCTAGATTGCTGTGGAATTTTATAATAGAGATCGTTTGAGCTATACCAAGCCGGTTGAGGGCGCGGATCAGAAACCAGAATTCTCCTAGCCGAAGCAACGACGCTGAAGGGCAACTTATCTTGGGTTCAAATACACAACCGTCTTGGAGTACTTAAGACTTCTTGCTTCGCAACTTCAGCGCGTTCATGCATTCCAGCTTGAATTCGATGAGCCCTTTCAGAAGGGTTTCAAGCAATTGCACTCCATCATGCTCATTCCCTTCCAGCCAGCCTTGAAGCACTCCCTTAACAACGCTGCACACGTATTTAGACGAGGTATCAAGTTTCAGGTCGGTGATTGCCTGACTTGTCTTGGACATAGAAGCACCTCCGCGCGTGATCAGTGGTATCAGAAAGCTCTCAATGATTTTGGCAAAGTTCTCTGGCGTCAATGTATCCGGACTCATCCTTGCCATGAGATAGCAACCATACACCAAGCGATAGATCTCGTCATCAGTGCGACCATGATAGGCTGGCGGATCATCATGCTCAAACATCTCGTTGAAGCGCTCGACGTCTCGTTCCAGGAGGGTTGTAAAACTCTGCTCTGGCCAGCAAGTATACCAGGCGGAGGCGCTGGCGAGGAGCAAAGAACTGCACGCCTTGTGACGAAACTCTTGCGAGGCATTGGGCATCAGATCCTGGAATTGCTCGACGAAGAACTCATGACTCGTGTCATCCTCATTGTCGTAGGAGAAAATGGTCGCAAAGCGGACCAGATCGGGGGATTTGTGTTCGACCACAAACTCTTGGAGAGCGCATCCGACTTTGTATTGCTGAATGCGTTTGTCGAGATTGATTCGGACAAGCTCTATGAAGCTAAATTCGTTGTCAGAAGAATTCTGCAGCCATCGTGCCGCAGCTCGGAGGTATGCGTCTTTCCATGAGTCGCGGTACGCATCCGTTATCGTGCCAAGGTCCTTCGAATGTACGTCTTTCCATTCAATGAAGTCTTGCACATCAGTGACATCGTGCTTATCTCCAAGCTTTTCGAACGTGTGGCAGACGTCAGTGTACAGCAGAGTTTTGGGGTCATATTGGATCATGCAGTACAACGCGTATACGCACCCGTACAGGACGCTTTTGGCGTGGTTTTCGTAGGGGATCGGTAGCATGTGATAGCTGTCGAGGTCAAACCGTTTTGCGGTGTCGAGCAAACAAAGTAAGAGGTCATCTCCATCATCGAGCGGTCGATCTCGTCTGCGCTGCTCCCAAGAGAGAATCTGCATAGCCATCAGGCCGTGAAAGACCAAAGGTCCACGGAGCTTTTCCAGTCGACGAGTATTCTTGCCGAAATACTCTTCGAAATGTTCGCGATACTTGTGTTGGCTGATCGCTCTGACAACCTTGCCGTGATCGAAAATGATTGTATGCTGAAAATCATCGATGATCGACTTTGGTGTAGTTTGCTGAATCTGCTCGCTGCGATCAATGCCGACACCTGAAGAGGACATTGCGTCGACGTCCACGTGCGACTGGTTGGACGGAAACACTTGCGACTCAAAGAAGGAAAGATCTGGATCGTGAAAGTGTTGTTGCGAGCACCACTCCGAATACTTAGACCTGCAATCCGCGTAGTACTTTGCAGTTTTGGCGCCTTTTTGGTCCACTATCGGTAAATCGATCTTGTGTGCCACACCTCTCAGATGTCTGAGCACATCGCCGCGCTGGCTGCAGGTTTTGGGGCAGCCTGGCACCGGACACTTGATCTTAATGCCGTCATGAGCGTCGAGGTGGATCTGCAAGCCGAGTACAGAGGTGAACTTCTTGTCACAAGATGGGCATTTCACCTCTTTCTCACCGTCATGCTTCGTGCGATAATGGAAGAAGCATCTTGTGGCAGTGCCGAATGTGGAGTGACATTGACGATGAGTGCATGCATACTTACTGCCGTTACTCCGGTATGTATTTTCGAATCGCACTGCACCGGCAATTCTGTTTGAAGGCATCGTGTGGGACTGAGAGGTGATTTGATGATGTGCTGAGAGCTAAAAGGACTGTGGGCCTGTTTGCTTATTATGGCATCCATTGTTTTCGACGGAATTCTCGCACTCTGCGCCATAATTTGAAGATGTTTGCCAGACCTGAAGACAAATGCCAGGAACAAAAGGTGGCCGGTTTGCTCGGACTGATAACCATCTCAGACCATCGAAAGGCCTCCACCAGATCGCTAGCATTATTAATGTCGAGACCTCGGACAAAGAAGCATACCAACTTGTCGCACATGCAGATCTCGTATGACCCACGTCATCGAAAGGAAGCAATCTGACAACTGTGTCCCAGGATGCGGATCCATGCTGCATATTCTAGCTTGGAGCGCAAGGGAACCCGGCAACGATCCGCTATGCCGTGTTGAGTGAGCATCGAGAACAAGTAAGGCATCGAAAAGCTCGCCGACCACCGGGCAGCCTCGCGAGACTGTTGTATAGAAGAACAGGTGTGAGGATGCGGTCGGAAGAAGACATTTCGGGTTCAGCTATAGAAAGTGAGAAGGAGTCGTAGCGCCAGAATGGCCGAAGTCAGTCGACACTTGTGATGTGAGGAATGTAATTCTGTGGAAAAAAGTCTTGCATAGTATATGCTTCATCTGTCGTGATATGCTCTCAAAGTTGGTGGGTATCAAGAAAATGTCAACAAGTCGGGCTCTCCAAGCAATACAATGCTCGTGAGCAATGCTATGCGGATGGTGGGTCGGCTGTAGGTGAAGCCTTCGCTTTTGCAAGAATGCGAGCATGCATTTTCTTCCGCGTTGATACCATCGTCGCCTCGACAAATGGTTTGAGAAAGAAATTGCAAGAGCTGTCGATGCTCTCGTCCAGCACGCATTCGCCCCCTGATTCGACGTGCTTGGGATCAGTTGGCGTCTTCACGGAGTACACGGCTTTGCTCGTCAGTCCCATCGGCGCTTCTATCCAGGAGGTGACGCCATCGTTCTTGTTCTCGAAAGAGCAGTTGAATTTAATCTCATGCTTCCAAAGTCCGAACGGCAGCAGGTCAATGTTTTCCCAGACATGGTATTTGATCTTGTCTCCTTGTCGTTCCGCCTCTTCGTACCTAGTCACAATGGGACTCATGGTAATTAGGAAGGCATGATTATGGAGGATGTTTGTGATTTCGTCAAGCTTGCAGTGTGTCGGTATGGAAGTTGCGATGTCGTTGTGCCAAGTGGTGCGCAAGGGCATGTTGCGTGGTGGTGGGGGGGGGGGGGAAAGCGGGAAATTCAGAAATGCATATTCTATGGCTGTAGCATGGATTTCGGTTCGCCCGGGACGGGACGTGGCGTGTTGGCACTCCTCGAGGATTCCCCGAGCCCTAGCTACCCGCCCGAGCCTTAGCATAACCCGAGATTATGAGATCGGCTATTCTATACAAAATCGCGTATAGAAGCGATAATCGCGTCGCTATAGGCCCCTCCGACCGGGCAACTACTATACTGCTACTAGTAGCTATAAAGCTAAAGTTTATTAGCAAATTAGTAGTATAGCAAAATTCAAGGTATTATTACTTGCTATCTACTTAGGTCTAAGCGGATTACGACCTATAGCCTTGTAACTACGTAATGCTATATATACTAGGGTTAGAGAGTTAGAGCCTAAGGTATCGACAAAGCGGACTTAGTATACTACGAGAGCCCCCTTCCGTACTTAGAACTTCTACCTCCCTACGTATCTATCGAATACATAGTTGCTATTACACTTCTACTAGCGAGTAGTAAGGGGCCTAAAAGTGCAATAGTTATCGGTATAGAATAGCAAGTATAGCGATAGCGATATATCTAGGTAGTTTTAAGGCATAGTAATAGGCGTTTAGTATATACAGTTTAAGCGAGAAGCGAGACGATACAGCATTAGAATACGGCACTAGAATACAGCATTTATAGCACTAGTAACAGCATTAACAATAACAGCATATTAAACATTATTTAGTATTAGTATCTTATAGTAATAGTATCGACCGGGCGCACGCATCGCCCTATAGTATTATTTATAGAAGACACGAATACAGTATTAATAGTATACGTATATATTAGAATTTCCCCTACCGAAAGCACGAGACATATAGGAAGCCCTATATTAGCGTAGATAGCGGCTTTACGTAAGCGGAAATCACCTACCGAGCCTACCTATATTTAGTAGCGATATACCGAAGAGCCCGATATATCGAGAACTACCCGCTCCGATAGGAGGCTTAAGTAGGTTATATATGCCTAAGGAAGGTAGGAACAGGTAGAACTATATTAGAGGCATATAGAAGGTCGTACGGAAGAAGCGTGCTAGTTAGGATCTTAAGAGCCTAGAGTTAGCTAAGAAGATTGCTAATTTTAAAGGATTTTATAGTTAGGGTAATCCTATAGAAATACCTTATCGAATAAGTAGTAAGAGAGATTAGAACGAAGAGGACATTAAGCGGACTATCTATCGGCAAAGCCTAGTATTAAAAGCATTAAAGGCCTTATCTAGAACCTTAGCAAGCTCCCTATTACTATAGAAACAGGCCGGCGGAAAGGAGTAGATCTATAGCGATAAGGAGATTAATAGAATTCTCCTAGGGCTTAATCTATATCGCTAATCTCGTAGTATAGGGCATATCAAGTTTCGACAAGTCTATAGAACAGTACGAAATCACTATAAGTACCTACGCGGTTACGATAAGAAGAAGTAGAAGTGGGAATTTTAGAAGCGTTAGCGATTAGTACGGCAGAGATTACTCTCGGAGGGTTATATAGAACAACTAAAGGAAGCATTCGGGGACCTCGTAGGTACTAGAAAATTCCTATTATACTAGTGTAAAGAGCTAAGTAAAAGGGGGCGTCCGCAATTACTACGGTCTTATCCCTTATCTAGAAGTAGCTCTCGGCGTTCTTCTAGGTCTTACGCTAATACTAAAACATACATACCGCCGTATTCGCTACCTAACTCTCCTTAGAGACAAGGCAGCAAACCTCCTTCTTTATCCGGATTATTAACATTATCGTTACGATTATTAACACTATTACTACTAAGAAGTCTACTAGTTCCTCCGCTACTAGCACTAAACATAGCGACCGGCGTAGCTAACTTAGAGCTAGTTAGTATGTTTGTCGGCGAAGAAGTTAAGAGTAACGCAGAGCGTTAGTAGGATCGATTTAAGCGATAACAGGATTAGGTTAATAGTAGAGCTAACCTAGTCCGGTAGTATAAAGACTTTAATATACAAATAAAGGGCGAGGTATTACGATAGGTTAATACAGAACTAAAGGACCTAGTATAGAGACCTTACGTTAACAACGCTACGGCGGTTACTATATAGACTATTAAGGACAGGTTCTTTACGAAATGGTTAAACGTAGCATTATTAGCTAATAACTCCGTCGAGACTATCGAAGCACTTACGGAAGTAGCATAGAAGAAAGATAAAAACCTAAGGGAATATTATTATCGTTGCATAGTCCTACTCCGTTAGGCAAACGGCAAAGATAATAACACCGCTACTAGTGCTAAGCGCACCGTTCTTACTATCGCTATTAAGGGTTTCGTTAATAGCCTCGTAGATAAGAAGCTTCGTACCGAGATATAGCGTAAGAAGCAGTCTACCCTAAAGGCGACATTAGCGGAGGCGGAGGCGGCTTAGCGCCTTATTAAGGATAAAGAGAAGGCTAAGAAGGAACAGAGGGAGCATAAACACATAGAAGTGCTAAAGGAGGCGGCTATATATTAGTCGGTTAGCAAGCAGTTACTATATAACCTTAATTAACGCTTAAAGAAGTACTAAGATACTATAGAGCCTTATAATACCGATACTAATGTAGTACAGTCGGCTCCGCCGGAAGCTAAGGACTAATAGGGCTACCTATATCAATATAGCAACGGCTACTATTATTATACCTCGCTATTACCGACACCGCCGTAGCAACGTACGCTATACGCACTACCGAGAAACTAAGGCCCGCTAGCAATATAGCTACTAGCTTAGCAAGCAGGTTATTAGCAAGGACCTCCTTAGTAGCGCTAAGGCCTTTAGCCGCGTATACTACGTAACAATACCGGACCTAGATATAGTAAGAACAACCTAATGCTAGAGTACTATTATACGGTAGTCCGCCGTAGCCGTAAGCGCGATAGAGACGTCGACCTAACCCGGTCTTAGAATAGCTACATTAATAGCATAATCTAGTACCGATATAAGTTTAACAATCTACTTTGCTACGGATGCGGCTAGCGCGGATACCTTGAGTGTAACAATATCTATACGGAAGATTAGAGATTAATGCTATAGGAGAGCAGGTTCCTTATATATCTTATATAGGAATAGCGAGAGGACTTCTTTACTAAGAACCTAGGCGCTAATCGAGGTAAAGGCAATCGAGGTAGATACGATAGTAGCTACGGTAACAATCGAGGAGGTTATAGGTTATACGGGGGGGGCCGCGGAGGCTATAGCGGCAATCGAGAATATAATAGACTACCTCCTCCTAGGCCTCTACTAACTAGAGATCGACTATTAAACGACGTACGAAATAGTAACCCTATATTAGCGGATGCCTACTATATTAAGGTTTCTATAAGTTAGGCTAGCACGAAGATATCTAAAGAATTGCTTGCCGCTATTACGATTAGTAAGAAGGATTAGAGCTAGGATATAGACACTAATAAAGCTAAGGGTTAGGGCAATAGTAAGCCTACTAAGCTAGTAGGCTATACAAACAAGCGGGTCTACTATAACGAGGAGGGTAACGGAGACACCGATATACTAAACATTCTAATAGTACGCGTTATTAAGCCGATAAAGGCACGTACCTTAAAGGTCGATAAAGGCGCTAAGCCTATAAAGCCTATTAATAGCCTCTTTAATAAGCTACCGATCGATATAAAGAAGGTACTTAGCAACCTCGAGATTCGCTTGCTAATCTTATAGCTTATATAATAGTCTCTATTCTTCCGCAACCGGTATAAGCACCTATTCTCGTAACTACGCTTCCGTAAGGTAGGTAAGCGTAAGGCGAAGAGAGTAACCGGAGAGGAGGAAGATATACTAGAGGGGATAGAATTAGCCGAGAGCGACAGCATTATAGTAACAGAGCTGTGCGAGATAGTGCCGCCGGAAACAGTTATAATAGAGGTAATAAAGGCCGTCCAATTATCGACTATAGCCGCTACCGGCTTCGGTAAAGGAATGCCTACAGTTACCGCCGAGGAAATAATAAAGGAGTATTAGCTTAGCTTAAGTGCTATAGTTAGCGGTAATAGCAATAGTATTACCGCATAGGTATAGGCAAGCATTAGCCGCTAGCGTTAGCGAGATTTGAAGACTAAAGTATATATATTACCGATTAAGATCTATAATACCGAGAGAGAAAGAGAGGCATAGGTCCCTTATACCTAGTATATTATAGACTAAGGATTAGATTTAAACGTTATCTACCTATACCTCCGCAAAGGCATAAAGCTAAGGCTCTACTCGGTTAAACTCCTTAGCTTTCTATTACTTAATATAAAGGTCGCCGATAGTAGCTTAGTTAGTATTACCTACTTCTCGACCTTCTACGTCGATATTAGAGGCATCTAGAGAGATATATAGGCTATCTATTGCCCTAAGGAACGTAGCAACCTCTTACTTATTCTTAGATTAGCATTCTTAGACTAGGTCGACGCTGTATTACGTATTAAGGACCGAGCTATAGAAGTTAGAGATACTAGTATTAGGGAGTAAGTCGTCTATATCGAAATAATACCGAAGTATAGCGATCTACTAAGGTTTATAATAGACATTTAGGACTTAATAAGTCTAGAGGAAGTGAAGGAAATAGAAAAACGTAGTAGTAAGGAGGAGGAAGAAGATAACGATATAGATATAGAAGAGCTAAACCGTAACTTAGAAGAGATAGATCTTAGTAATATAAAGATTACTAGTAGGAAAGGCTAGGCTTTTTATTAAGTCCTTAGTATAACGAGAAAAGGCTTAGTACTAATATAAATACTAACTATAGCGTCGACATTAACAGCGCCGAGCTACGATAGAAGGAGAGCTTTATAGAAACACTAGGGTTAGAGTTAAGGTTAGGGTTAGGGTTAGGGTTATAGTTTTACCCTAAGGTAAATAAGGGCATTTCTCGAAGAATTAGACTATTTAGAGTATATAAGGTTTCGGAGGCAAAGGGCGATTACGTAAGCGACAACCCTAACCCTTACTCTAAGCGAC